ACAGTGACTGTCTATACTACACCTTCTACAGTGATAGTCCATACAACACCTTCTACAGTGACTGTCTATACTACACCTTCTATGGTGACAGTCCACACACACCCTTCAACAGAATCTGTCAATACAACACCTTCAACAGTGACAGTCCACACACCACCTTCTACAGTGACTGTCTATACTACACCTTCAACAGTGACTGTCCATACAACACCTTCTACAGTGACTGTCCATACAACACCTTCAACAGTGATAGTCCATACAACACCTTCAACAGTGACTGTCCACACAACACTTTCTACAGTGACTGCGCTTACAACACCTTCTACAGTTACTGTCCATACAACACCTTCAACGACTGTCCATACAACACCTTCTACAGTGATTGTCCATACAACACCTCCTACATTGACTGTCCATACAACACCTTCTAAAGTGACTGTCTATACTACACCTTCTACAGTGATAGTCCATACAACACCTTCAACAGTGACTGCCCATACAACACCTTCAACAGTGATAGTCCATACAACACCTTCTACAGTGACTGTGCATACAACACCTTCTACAGTGACTGTCTATACTACACCTTCTACAGTGATAGTCCATATAACACCTTGTAAAGTGACTGTCTATACTACACCTTCTACAGTGACTGTCCATACAACACCTTCTACTGTGACTGTCCATACAACACCTTCTACAGTGACTGTCTATACTACACCTTCTACAGTGACTGTCTATACTACACCTTCTACAGTGACAGTCCACACACCACCTTCAACAGAAAATGTCCATACAACACCTTCAACAGTGACAGTCCACACACCACCTTCTACAGTGACTGTCTATACTACACCTTCTATAGTGACAGTTCACACACCACCTTCAACAGAATCTGTCCATACAACACCTTCAACAGTGACAGTCCACACACCACCTTCTACAGTGACTGTCTATACTACACCTTCTACAGTGATAGTCCATACAACACCTTCTACAGTGACTGTCTATACTACACCTTCTACAGTGACTGTCCATACAACACCTTCTACAGTGACTGTCTATACTACACCTTCTACAGTGAGTGTCCATACAACACCTTCAACAGTGACTGCCCATACAACACCTTCAACAGTGATAGTCCATACAACACCTTCTACAGTGACTGTGCATACAACACCTTCTACAGTGACTGTCTATACTACACCTTCTACAGTGATAGTCCATATAACACCTTGTAAAGTGACTGTCTATACTACACCTTCTACAGTGACTGTCCATACAACACCTTCTACTGTGACTGTCCATACAACACCTTCTACAGTGACTGTCTATACTACACCTTCTACAGTGACTGTCTATACTACACCTTCTACAGTGACAGTCCACACACCACCTTCAACAGAAAATGTCCATACAACACCTTCAACAGTGACAGTCCACACACCACCTTCTACAGTGACTGTCTATACTACACCTTCTATAGTGACAGTTCACACACCACCTTCAACAGAATCTGTCCATACAACACCTTCAACAGTGACAGTCCACACACCACCTTCTACAGTGACTGTCTATACTACACCTTCTACAGTGATAGTCCATACAACACCTTCTACAGTGACTGTCTATACTACACCTTCTACTGTGACTGTCCATACAACACCTTCTACAGTGACTGTCTATACTACACCTTCTACAGTGAGTGTCCATACAACACCTTCTACACTGACTGTCTATACAACACCTTCTACAGTGACTGCCTGTACTACACCTTCAACAGTGACTGTCCTTAAACACCTTCTACAGTTACTGTCCATACAACACCTTCAACAGTGATAGTCCATACAACACCTTCAACAGTGACTGTCCACACAACACTTTCTACAGTGACTGCGCTTACAACACCTTCTACAGTTACTGTCCATACAACACCTTCAACGACTGTCCATACTACACCTTCTACAGTGACTGTCTATACTACACCTTCTACAGTGACAGTCCACACACCACCTTCAATAGAAACTGTCCATACAACACCTTCAACAGTGACAGTCCACACAACACCTTCTACAGTGACTGTCTATACTACACCTTCTACAGTGATAGTCCATACAACACCTTCTACAGTGACTGTCTATACTACACCTTCTATAGTGACAGTCCACACACTACCTTCAACAAAATCTGTCAATACAACACCTTCTACAGTGACAGTCCACACACCACCTTCTACAGTGACTGTCTATACTACACCTTCTACAGTGATAGTCCATACAACACCTTCAACAGTGACTGTCTATACTACACCTTCTACAGTGATAGTCCATACAACACCTTCTACAGTGACTGTCTATACTACACCTTCTACAGAGACAGTCCACACACCACCTTCAACAGAAACTGTCCATACAACACCTTCTACAGTGACTGTCTATACTACACCTTCTACAGTGATAGTCCATACAACACCTTCTACAGTGACTGTCTATACTACACCTTCTACAGTGATAGTCCATACAACACCTTCTACAGTGATAGTCCATACAACACCTTCAACAGTGACTGTCCATACAACATCTTCTAAAGTGACTGTCTATACTACACCTTCTACAGTGATAGTCCATACAACACCTTCAACAGTGACAGTCCACACTCCACCTTCAACAGAAACTGTCCGTACAACACCTTCTACAGTGACTGTCTATACAACACCTTCTACACTGAAAGTCCATACAACACCTTCAACAGTGACAGTCCACACACCACCTTCAACGACTGTCCATACAACACCTTCTACAGTGACTGTCTATACTACACCTTCAACAGTAACTGTCCATACAACACCTTCTACATTGACTGTCTATACTACACCTTCTACAGTGACTGTCTATACTACACCTTCTACAGTGACAGTCCAAACAACCACCTTCAACAGAAACTGTCCATACAACACCTTCAACAGTGACAGTCCACACACCACCTTCTACAGTGACTGTCTATACTACACCTTCTACAGTGATAGTCCATACAACACCTTCAACAGTGACTGTCCATACAACACCTTCTACAGTGACTGTCCATACAACACCTTCTACAGTGACTGTCTATACTACACCTTCTACAGTGATAGTCCATATAACACCTTCCACAGTGACTGTCTCTACAACACCTTCTACAGTGACTGTCCATACAACACCTTCTACCGTGACTGTCCATACAACACCTTCTACAGTGACTGTCTATACTACACCTTCTACAGTGATAGTCCATACAACACCTTCTACAGTGACTGTCTATACAACACCTTCTACAGTGACTGTCCATACAACACCTTCTACCGTGACTGTCCATACAACACCTTCTACAGTGATAGTCCATACAACACCTTCTACAGTGACTGTCTATACTACACCTTCTATGGTGACAGTCCACACACACCCTTCAACAGAATCTGTCAATACAACACCTTCAACAGTGACAGTCCACACTCCACCTTCTACAGTGACTGTCTATACTACACCTTCTACAGTGATAGTCCATACAACACCTTCTACAGTGATAGTCCATACAAGACCTTCAACAGTGACAGTCCACACACGACCTTCAACAGAAACTGTCCACACACCACCTTCAACAGAAACTGTCCACACAACACCTTCAACAGTGACTGTCCATACAACACCTTCAACAGAAACTGTCCACACAACACCTTCAACAGTGATAGTCCATATAACACCTTCAACGGAAACTGTCCATACAACACCTTCAACAGTGATAGTCCATACAACACATTCTACAGTGACTGTCTATACTACACCTTCTACAGTGATAGTCCATACAACACCTTCAACAGTGACAGTCCGTACAACACCTTCAACAGTGACAGTCCATTCAACACCTTCAACAGTGATAGTCCATACAACACCTTCAACAGTGACAGTCCATACAACACCTTCTACAGTGACTGTCCATACAACACCTTCAACAGTGACAGTCCATACAACACCTTCAACAGTGACTGTCTATACTACACCTTCTACAGTGGTAGTCCATACAACACCTTCTACAGTGACTGTCTATACTACACCTTCTACAGTGACAGTCCACATACCACCTTCAACAGAAACTGTCCATACAACACCTTCTACAGTGACTGTCTATACTACACCTTCTACAGTGATAGTCCATACAACACCTTCTACAGTGACTGTCCATACAACACCTTCTACAGTGACTGTCCATATAACACCTTCTACAGTGACTGTCCATACAACACCTTCTACAGTGACTGTCCATACAACACCTTCTACAGTGACTGTCTATACTACACCTTCTACAGTGATAGTCCATACAACACCTTCAAGAGTGACAGTCCACACACCACCTTCAACAGAAACTGTCCATACAACACCTTCTACAGTGACTGTCTATACAACACCTTCTACAGTGAAAGTCCATACAACACCTTCTACAGTGACAGTCCACACACCACCTTCAACAGAAACTGTCCATACAACACCTTCTACAGTGACTGTCTATACTACACCTTCAACAGTAACTGTCCATACAACACCTTCTACAGTGACTGCCCATACAACACCTTCAACAGAAACTGTCCATACAACACCTTCTACAGTGACTGTCCACACACCACCTTCTACAGTGACTGTCCATGCAACACCTTCTACAGTAACTGTCTATACAACACCTTCAACAGTAACTGTCCATACAACACCTTCTACAGTGACTGTCCACACACCACCTTCTACAGTGACTGTTTATACAACACCTTCAACAGTGACTGTTTATACAACACCTTCAACAGTGACTGTCCATACAACAACTTCAACAGTGACTGTCCATACTACACCTTCTACAGTGACTGTCCATACTACACTTTCTACAGTGACTGTCCATACTACACCTTCTACAGTGACTGTCTTTACAACACATTTGTCATTTGTTTTATAATTGATAAATCAAAAACAACACATAACTAAGTGTACAGAGGTCGGTTTTATTCACGTATATCGTGCGTGCCATGTTAAAGAAGACGTAACGACAGCAGGAGCCATCAGAGAGGGATCGAATGCACGAGATCCCAAACCGACAGCTTCTTCTCGAGATACGCCCACAACATGTCTTGTTTATGGCGCATCTGTCATTCGCTGTTTAACTTCTTGACCATGGCAAGCACAAGATAACATAATAAACAGCTTTGATTTGTTTGTTCATAACATGTGATGTCCGAGGTTAGCCAACCACAGGCACATGGCGTCCCAGCAAGGCCTCGATGTCGGGCCGGATGTCAATGGGCTGGACGCTGGGGCTGTACCGGAACTTGACGTGTCCATCTGCCCCAACCAAGAACTTCTCAAAGTTCCAGTACACGTCCCCAATTTCCTTGGGTTGGTAGAATAGCCAGCTGGACGGCCGATACTGGGTCCTGACACTTTCGCAGTAACTCTGAAACGAGCAAAACATGACCATATTGTGATAAGATGTTTGTGAAGACCTGTCCGTGAGCACATAGGGCAAGTTGAACGTCCAATCAGACACAGTGGCGTGCCGACTAGTAAAAGAGGGCCCTGAACATCCCAAGTATTAAGTGTCGTTATGACCGGGGTCTTATTTGGTTAAGATACTAGTTGATATATATATTACAATACTCGCATGTGTGTTATATTATTTTACAAAAAGAACATCAGAGCATATTTTCCGACCAAGAGCGAGGATGACACATGAACCCTTCGACGAGTTTCGTTAAATCAATATAACAGTCATGCGAGTGTAATATTTTCCTAATTCTTTTGAGGGCCCCTGGTCACGAACGCCGTCTTAGGCAACCACAGGTGTTGATTGACGTCGTATCTAATGAGACGTCATTCTAATCCTACGTCACAATAACTTTCGAATGATGTAGACAATACCATCCGAGTGACGGAAATGCAATACATTTGTGTTCGAGAAGGGATAATTTCCTAGGGACACATACGATGTTTAGGAACTCGGTTATTTCTGATGTTGATAAAGAAAATGTGCATTGACGTCATACGGATTCACGAGACGTCGCCCGCCTGTGAGAAATGACTGAGTTCATCAACGTAGTATATGTCGAAATAACAGAGGCGTTGACCCAACCCACTCAATGACCGCCTTCAGCCTACCTTGAGGAACCTGTAGAGGGGATGCTGATACTGGCCGTTCACGTCTATCTTCTGGGTGAGGTTGAAGAGGGGCGTGAGGCGGGGTCGCACGTACTTTACACCGTTCATGATCTCCGTGCCGTTAGCCCCAGGTTCTTGCTGTACAGGGACAACTCGTGTTACAGAGAGTAATCTACAAGGTCATGCGTATTCTAACGTTAGGGTAAAAAGCTAATGCTGAAATAATTGGACAAGAATGATTGAATGACTATTGCTTTACGCCGCATCAACTTGACAAGAGCATAGGTCTGGATGTGCAGGTTTTATTTTGGGGCTGGTTTTACAAATTTCAGCACAAAATGCATGACTAAAGATGGCCGATCTTACATAAAACCTACCATTTTTACTCTGTTATGCAAAAGACGCCAAATATCCTTGAAACAATATCATTATTTTTTCTTGCTTCCGACGAAAATTGAGGAGATGAAAATGTGGGTCGAAAATGCTCTTAAACACTCCAAGACGCAAACACATTTTGATATCTGATGAAGGTTCGAAATATGGCCAGGTCGTCGTTATCTACGGCGTTCTTTAAAATTATCGATTAATTTAGACAATTTACAATATCTTGAATTTATTAAATGCACACGTGATTTTACATACCTTAAGGAATTGGTTACACGGAAGCCCTAGAACCAGGAAGTCTCCTTGGCCAGCATAGTCGGTCATAAGTGCATTCAGACCGTTATACTGGGGGGTGTGGCCTCAGTAGGTAGCGACGTTCACAACGAGGACAACCTTGTTGCGGAAGTCGCTGAAGTCGATCAGTTTTTCATCGAAAACATCGTTGATCTTAAAATCATAAAAGGTGTTCATGGTTTTTGCAGGTGTATGACACGTGGCCTTCTCGCCACGGACACCGCACAAGGCGATGACCAGCGTTGCCAGTCCCGCCGTCCACGACGTCGCTCCTGCCATTACAAGAGTCTGGTGTGGAGTGACGGGGAATGGGAGAGCTGTGTTATCTAGCCAGCTGTGGCTGGACAGATGGGTCACACATGACGTCTCCTTTGCCATGACCTTCGCTATCTTGAACATTACACATGGCACTATGGGACTTACTGAGGTTACTTAGCAGCTTACTAAGCAGCAAAAGAAACGTCAGTTTGGAAGTTTCCTTCGCAGAAACGGATAACTGTAAACTCATTTAATGTTTTGATTGTTTTTGATAACATCTCCAACTTTACCTGAGCAAAGACATTCCTTCCCAAACTCAGAATGGAACCAAGGAAATGGTCTCAAAAACGCAACCTGATCTCGGAGATGGTACGGTGTTCTCCATGTTTTTCATGCACGTGCTGTTCACAAGGACCAGCTCTATAAATGCACCCCCAAACACGGTTGAAACATTCACATTACAACGTCAGCAGGATGCCGCGACTCACGACAGCTGAGAGGAACCAGGCGCTAGGAAGACTTGAAGCTGGTCACACTGCACAAGCCGTTGCCAATCACTTCCAGGTCAACGTTCGGACCATCTATAGGCTGCAGCAACGTTTCCGGGCCACCAACACCACAAATGATCGCCCCCGTACTGGCAGACCAAGGGTGACCACAAGACGACAAGACCACCATGTTGTGACACAGCATGTACAGAATTCCTTCATGCAGGCATCCGAAACAGCACAGTGGGAACAGATGAGAGTCGGTACTGCGTATCAACTGCAGATGGCAGAACAAGAATATGGCGACGACGTGGCCAGAGTTACTCAGACCAATGTGTTATGGAAAGAGACTCATGGGGAGGTGCAAGCATCATGGTGTGGGTAGGAATAGGCCTGAACCAGAGAGTGGGTCCTGTGGTGTTCCAGAACCTTAGTCCAGGTGGAGGACGGTGTTCTACATCGACCAAGCTCTCGGACCCCACGTCATACCACATTTCGCACGTCACCGGAACATCATTTTCTAGCAGTATGGGCCCGGGCCCATACTGCTAGAGCTACACGGGACTTCCTACAGCAGAATGGTGTCAACATTATGCAGTGGCCAGCCCTTAGTCCTGATTTAAAACCCAATTGAACATCCTTGGGATGAAATTCAGAGGAGACTGAATAATGTCATACCATGAAATACACAATGCCATTTTTTAGGAAGTGGTCAAATGTAACATATATTATATTTGGATTACACTTTCTTTGTAAAGTACAGATTCGAGTCCCATCCGGGATTCGAACCCACAACCTCAAGAGTCAGGCACCTAATCGCCAGCACACAAAGTCAGACGCCTAGACCACTCAGAAAAATGGCATTATGTATTTCATAGCTTTCGGCCGTGGGAGCCGTGCCAATTTATACTTATCAGAGGGATACACAATGTCCGCAGTCCAGACTACAAGTTGTCCGACTTCCATTTTTGTGGAAGCCACGGTGGCTGAGCGGTCTAGGCGTCTGACTTTGTGTGCTGGCGATTAGGTGCCTGACTCTGAGGGTGTGGGTTCGAATCCCGGATGGGACTCAACCCAAAAAGTACTAGAATCTGTACTTTACTAAGAAAGTTTAATCCCAAATATAACATATGTTACAATTTCATACCAAGGCCGAACACAGCTGATTTATTGCGCCAGGCCTTTCTCAGAATGTGGTTCAAGGTGCCAATTGCCGTCATCAATCGATTGTTGCACCCCATGCATAGACGCTGTGCTGCAGTTATTGCCGCTCGTGATGGTCGAACTAGATACTGAAGTCAAGGGTCTGAATGGACTGCAAACGTTCACGTAATGTCTTGAAATTGTGCTGAGTTATTCATTTATGTGTCAAGATATTGTACACAAAAAATGTTTTTGATCCGCTTATTATGTCCATTTCTGTAATGATTTGATTACAGTGCCTATCTAAGTTTGAATTCGTACTGACGTTTATTTTGCTGCTGAGTATATATTGTTTAGCTGTAACATTAAAGGTCACATGCAACCAAAAAATCAAACATAATGAAAACACAATTATCACTTATTCATGACATATAATATACATTGCTGATTATGAAAAACATATAAACAAAAGTATAAGCGTATAATCGCAAATCAAAAGTGCAATATTTTGTACTTGGGTTTACTTCCCAAGAAACGAAGCAGCCGGGATACCGAACCCAGTCAGAGCGGGTGGGTGTGCACTCAAGTGTAACGGCTGGTTCATTTGCAGATGCCCTCACGGCTAATTGTGTGTGTACATGCTCATTTTTTGTGTATAACATTTTGCAATCAACAGACATCATAACATGTCATGTGTACAAGTATCACACCTGCCTGTCTGTGTAATTACATAAATCAATGCGTTTTGTTTATGGTGTATAGCCTGATAGGTGTTAAGTTCAAATTGCATGTGGTTAGTGATCGAAGTTGTGTATTGAATATTGTCATTAGCAGACAGGCAGGCAGACACACAGGTGTCAATAAAACAGACATTGAGTTTTGTCTGTGACAACGACATATCTATATCACAGTTAGAAATTCTGTCAACGCTAAATAATGACATTGCTTTTGAGTATCGAACTGAGAAAGTGACTCGGTAAGAAGAACGTGTGGTGAAATATACAAATGAAATTATATAAACAGTTAAATCGGTAATCTACTGTCATAACATATAAAAAGCTCGCGCCTGTGAAATATCAACAAAACATTAGAAAAATAGCTCACACCAAAGCCTTCACCGAGTATTCACTGGACAACCCGCTTCCAAGCTGCGCGAACCTACTTCACTGTGCATGTGCTATGAGCGCAGCCCAGCTGATGAAACCACTTTTCCCCCAAGCGCTGGGGGAAAATTAGTGAATCGTTTGAACTTAGATTTCGCGCGGTTTTTTTCATCGCGTTAGTTTTCAACTTTATAAGTTGAATTTGCATTTTTGATGATTTGTTTCGGCAAGTCCATGCCGAAAGGTATCAGAATCTGCAAAGTTGTGTTTTACGTTGCATGTGACCTTTAACAATCCAATTAACACTAACAGGGTGTCTGAACGTTATCATAGTCACAAATACACTTATCATAGTGCCACTAAACTATAAGAAAATGAAACGTTATTCTTATTTACTCCTGAACCATGTATATATTTTCACACCTGTTCAGAGTGAGGTAAGGCCTTATAGTAATGTAAGGGTTCTAATCAAAGACGTACATGTACTTTAAGTTCTAATCGAGAGTGCCGTGTACTGAGTGCACCTTGCGATACCCCTTCAACCTGTAACTGTCTGATTCCCATCCCGTTGTAGTACCATATGTCGTCATTCTCTGGATCATGGCACTTCACGAGTGTAATCAACATTTGTTGTTTCACGTGTAATATAACTTATCTTAGACATGTGTCCTCTGTTCTGCGTTGGCGTTTCACGACGCCTTCCTGCACTATCATCAACACGTAGTTAGATAATACCCTATAGGTATAAATGTATACCACATACTAGTATAGGATATATATGATATATACACACAAACACATGCGATGTGAAGCTTTCGTTCAAGTATTACGATTTCAAGATGAAAGATGTTTTAGACTTCCGCAACAAGGTTGTCCGCGTTGTGAACGTCATTACCCACCAAGGCCGCACCCACCAGTATATCGGTGTGGATGCAGTCATCACCTACTATACTGGACAGGGAATTTCCGGGTTCTCGGGCTGCCGGGTACCCAGTTACTAAAGATTGGTGGACAAATTTCAAAACTTCATATATGGAAGAAATCTCCAGATCAACTGACTTTTTATAGCGCAAATCTCCGCAAAGGATAAGGCTCAATTTCACCTTGTATTGACCCCGACTGTACTTCAAAACTTCCATATGGAAGAAGGTGGAAAGGCTCATTGTTAGTCGCATGGTAATGTCGGCAGTCATATCGAACCAAAGTAATTTGGTCAGTTAGAAACTGACTTTAGTCTCTGCAACCTTTGGCCCTGACTGTATCTGTCCTGACTCAATGGTTCATAAAAAGTCAGATATTTTGATCTTATGATCAAAAGGAATCAAATAATAATAATTTCAATAATAATAGCGCCACGACACGTAATGGATCGAAGTTCCAGCATTCTTTATACCGGGTCAAGACGCATCACTGGAGTTATATCTGTATTCAAATGATGGCATCAATTTGATATTTTCATTTGACTTACTGACGGGTACCACTGGTGGGTCAAGGATAATGCCAGGAATCATCACTTTTGATTAAAAATTTCACCTTGATATATATGATATAGTATCCCTGACTGTAGTTTCACAAAGCTCTAGAATCTTTCCTCGTAGTGCTGTTTAGGCCTTAAGATAAGAGCCTCATGAGCCCATCAATCAGTGCGTTTGGTTATTTTAACTATGATATCATTGGCGATTGAAACCACTGACCCTTCATCCTTCCAGATTGCTAGTCCGCGAGCCTAAGGACGGACATGAATCCAGTGATGGGCCTAGTTTAGGGAGAGAATCTCAATGTCATATTTGCCAGTTGACAGAAAAAGCACCAGGTTCCTTGCTAAAACAGTGAAGACAAGTGAAATAAGACAACGGTTTTAAGAAAAATGTATGAGCTGACATCTATCTTTACAACATATTACAACGTACAGACCTTGAGATACAACCTTTTTGAATGAGTAGGAACGATGCCGGGACGGACATGAATAAGGCCGTTCAATCTCTGTCCCGTTAGGGAAACAAAAGTCTTTAACATTTAGGAAGATACGATGCCTAGAGCATCTTAGGGGCAGTTCATAATGTACTAGAACATACTAATTCACTTCATCGTTTTTGTAATTTATTTGTTCTACGCTTTTCAATGCTTGATAATGAACTGAAAGCTACATCATTACCCCGGCCCGTGGATCAGTCACACTCACATTTCCATCTCAGCTCTCTGGGGAGTATACAAACCAAGCTGGAAGGTTACAATCAGCCTTATCCATCCCTTCCGGGTACCCATTCACTGCCCATACAAATGTGCTTCAGTGTGGGACAGGATGGACGTCTTATAAACTCAAGAGTTAACTCCAGGTTCGCTGGTTCCAAGATTTACAGCCGTTTTGGCAAATTACCGGATTTCATATAGGGCTGGACTCGGCTACTCAATCGATCTCGCAACAGTATTAAAGTACGACACTTGTAACATAAGCCGATAGGTCGTTATACCAATAGATAACTGACCTAAAGGCGGCATACAACCCACACCCTTACTAAGGGAGATTGAGGTGCACTTCTGCCCAATCCCTTTGTCATGTTGGACATTTACAAAATGTTTAAAACAAATACACTCAATCATAGAGACCAACACAACAAGTGTGCTCTCACACTTTCTCTGTCACGCAATCACTCTGTAACACTAACCAGATTAAACTGCTGGCAGGGTACCCCCAACACGTGGAAGTCGCCGTTCCCCCCAAACTGAGTCTGCAGTGCATTCAGACCGAAGTACTGGGGGGTCTTGCCTCAGTAGTTAGCGACGTTGACGACGAGGACGACGTGGCCCCGGAACTGCTCGAAGTCGATGTCGTCCTTGTTGTGAATGTCCTTCACGGTGAAGTCATAGAAGGAACCGCCAGCACTCTTGGGCTGGTTGCAGGGGAACTTCTGTGCGCGCGAAACACACAGGGCCGTGCAGATCGCGGCGAGCCCGAGGGCCCATGGGGGTGCTTGCATGGTGAACCTGTCACCTGTACTGAAAGCTACTCTAGGACAGAGTTGCACCTGGACCGTTCCTATCTATTCCTGGAATATATGGACCTTGATAATACCACGTGTTTGCGTGACCTTTTATCTGACCGACTGCTGTTTATGATCGTACAGCTGGTTATTTTTTTTTGTTTAATTCAAGACACCGATATGTGAATTGTCTTAAAGGCATGTTTGAGTTAAAATAAAAATGAAAACGATGTGTGAATGATAATGACGAAAATATCGGTATTTAACTTCGAAGATTTCAATTGACGATATTTGCTCTTTTTATGCTACTTATCGCATGTTCTAAGTGTCACGACAGCAAAATACTTCCATGATGCAGGAACTTATAACATTACTGTGACATTTTTGTTGAATGTATCTTACTTTACATTCTTTCGGATATGTTTTGCAGTTAAGGATGCTAAGTGAGTGAGTGAGAAGGTGAGCTGATTTTAAAGGCCGCTTTGTATTATATATTTGTTATATTATCTCGTACAGCGCCCTATGTGACGTAGTTATCGGACTTCGGTGAAACCCAAGAACACGAGTGCCGCTGATCAACTAATATGCTCTCAGTATAGTGCCGGAAATTCGAAACATTATAAAATTTTATCCATGGTGTTCATGAGCGCCCATCTTTGTCAGTTTTCACCCCCGGGATGTTTATTACGGCGAATGCGGTAAGTATTATAGTGAGTGAGTGAGTTTGGTTTTACGCCGCTTTTAGCAATATTTCAGCAATATCACGGCGGGGGACACCAGATATGGGCTTAACACATTGTACCCATGTGGGGAATCGAACCCGTTTCTTCGGCGTGACGAGCGAACGCCTTAACCACGAGGCTACCCCACCGCCCCGGTAAGTTTTATATGTTTAGATGTTCAAGAGTGCGCACGAACGTAGTCTTACATTTAGGCCAGTGCGTCAATGACTTTATATACAAATTTTCATTTATTAGTAGATCTATCAGGCCTACGGCGCCCTGATTTTTGTGTATATTTGATATGGTAGTAACTCCGTCTATCAGGTACTGAAAACAGTGACGTGAGACGAGGTACGTGAAAATGTCTGCAACGTTGCCTTGAAGTTTATAACATTTACTTAGATATCTGCATACGTAAGCGCTGCGTGCGTGCGTGCGTGCGTTCCTGTCTCCGTAATGCCGACCGCCAGGCTTGACAACAAGAATTACCATCTTTTAACGTCTTTTTGCATGAAAGGGTCGGGGTTTGAACCACTGCTCCCGCTCTCCGGACATGTGTTCTATCCATGGATGCGGTTTTGCATTTGTGGGTGCCACTAGTCAGTACAGTGAACAGAGTCGTATCTCTGACGTAGGCCGCAAGTGAGGGGTACATGTCGTAAACACATCAAGCCATTCCGAATTGCCAGTTAGTGGTAACAGGGACAGGATTACATACAGATAAGGTCCTGTCTACCAACTGATCTCAGGGTGACATGAGTGCATCAGTAACCTCCAATGACATACAACCTTCTCTCATAATAACCTCAAAGATTACTTTGGACCTGTTAAGACATGGCAACATTTCCTATAACGATACATGCATCTCTCCATCCTCACTCCATGAGGAAGCTCACAAGCAAACATAATTTATACAGTGAATGACTTTATTCCCATTAATTTAGAGTGTAATGTTGTACAGTGGTGAGAAGAATTGAAAGTACATTTGACCTATTCAGACACCACGAAGATCAGAAGCACCTACAGCCAACAAGAAGCAGGACTCTGGGTGTTGAGGACAGATCATATTGATACATAAGTCGGTCAAGTACGACTAATTATTGTTTGCACTAGATGTGGCTCATCATCACCATGAAAAACTACCCACTGATGGTGATTCTTACACATTTAATGTATCAAGCACCCAGGATGTAAATAGTTTCAAATGTTCAAATCTTCATGAACAAATGACGTCTTACCGATCTTAATAATTAAGTGATACACAAACAGATTAAATGCAAAGAGGAAGATTGTTTTTAATGTAGTCAACATGAAATCTTGTTTCAAAACAACTGGGGGCATTTACTGGAGAGTGTTTGATACATTAAACTACAGCATGTACCAGATAGACAACAAGAGCAGTTGTCTCTCACATGGTTTATGGAATGCCTCATACAACCAACTCAAAGGTGGCTGATGTCTGGATTCAGCACTAGGTGACAATATGCAACAAAATCATATCACAAATTAAACCAAACGTGGACACTCTTGGAACTCTTGAAAAAACAAAGCCAAACAGAACAAGACTGAACTAAAAGTCAACATGTGATCTCAGAAAATATCTATTTTTATATTATAAAGAAACTATTTTTCATGTTTATCAAAATATTGCAAACAAACTCTTCATTGTCATAATGTTAAGAAATTATATTGTCATGATCATGTCAACAACTTAATTATCACCACAATGTAAAAAAGTAATTATTGTAATGAAAGGTAACTAATTATAGCTTTTGACAGGAAACACTCTCAAACTCCACACAAAGCCTGCCACATCTGGTACCAGTATGTACCACTCACTGACTTTGCGTCCTTATGTACCACATCCACACACAGTACACTGTCTCTACAGTTACAATACAATACATACTGCATCAAGCACCATGTTTATTAACATGATCGGTCCAGGATAAACATCTCCCTAACATCACGAGGCAATATTGCAATAGTACACTATTTCTCCAGTGTAAACATATTGCCGTGTGACAAGCCCTGCTTGCTGACAAACGCACTGTACAGTATTGTGGCTGATCAACTCTTAAAAAAGTCTCAAAATTATCTTCCGATGTCAAAAACATTACAAGATATTTCTCTCACCCTAAGTTGGGCCTCACTACTTATACAAGACAAACAGTAAATACTATTAATGTCATCCTGGTTACAGGAAAAATCTATATCCAAAAACAAATATTGGTCAAATATGAAACATGAACAACAAAGGTCTACATTTGACAAATCTGGCAAAAAAAGATAAATAAAAAAGTTCATATAAAGGACAAAGAAGCCAGCTATGGATGTGACTAAAATCAGCGTGAACATGAGCACTAATAACCATCATCTCTGAAAGACATACATATTGTTTGTAAGGTAAATTTAACAGTAATGGAAATCTGGAAAATTTTGTATCATGAAAATATTATGAGTGGTAAATAATAGCCTAACTATTAGGTTCTGCAACTTCCAATTGATAAGATTACAAATCACAGTTACTTTTGCACCTATCAACTTCATCAATGGGAAGTGGCATGGTGAAAAGTATCTCAGTATTTATTCAAACTATTGAACTGATCAACAATGTGTAACTATGGCAACAGGACCTGAGAGATTAGTTTTTTAAATCATCTTCTACTGCATGCTACAAACTCTGGAAGTGAATAAAAGAACTCTGCCTCCTCCTTCCATTTTTTTACTTGTTGGTCTGCGAAAATAGGTTTCATGAAACTGTTGATGGTTTGTGTTGCTTAGAGTTATTGTAACACTCTCCTGCTCACGAAACTTTCCAGATTTACACTGTTATACATGATACAACTCTTGAAGTAAGGTAAATGATAGGCTGAACAAGACATTAATCATCAAGGGTGTAGTAGATTCTAGTGCCTCCATCATGACCCCAGGTCAAGACTGTGTCGTGATACAGAAACGTTGTCAGTGTGTTGCCAGGGTAATTATCAAATGTAAGATTAGTTGAACATCAATCTTGAGATTAAATATGTGCATGACGTGCAAAATCTGTACAGATAAACCTGATTCTAGACTTGCAGGAGTGTAATGTTGAATACCTCTGAAGCCATGTTTTACATCATTATAGATGAATTGTAACCCACGACATAGTGAAACAGTGCAGGTAAAGAAGCCAGCTATGTACAGGAGTGGTGCAGTAGACCTCACAGTATTTAATACACTAGTTATCACAGATGATAATACTTTAACTGAGTGCTACACAACTACAACAATATCCTTAATTCTGTCCACCTTAAACAACCATCTCCGATCATACATGAAGCCTATATCTGTATATGTAAAACAGACTGCCCATTACAGAGTACTAACAACCCTGATATACCAATATATGATCCCCCAATAATGAACCAGGAATCTGTCTAGTAATCTGGAGTTACTATTGCTGCAACAGCAACATCATGGAGTGAACAGACATGTTACACTCTGTAGACAGATGCCAGTCAGTGTGGCTCTAGCCATACCAGACAAGTCATGTACTTAACAGTGCCTGACAAAGCACACCCATGTCAAATCACCCAGCCATAATCTAATACATCATTAAAGAAGCTGTTAACAGGTATCTGTAAGATAAGAGCAATCTGCTTGGCTATGTTTAACACAGAATGACTTGTCATTCTTAGTACTTCATGATTAAGTCAATAGTATGACATGTTTCACAATATATAACAACACTGTTAGTGTAATCAAAATGATTTTAAACTATATGTAATTTTAATGACACATATCTCACAAAAAACATCACAAAAGTTATTCTTCAGTTATACAGCTCACCATGAAAAATCATCACCATGGTAACCAAACCTGAGGGATCAGTTGGAGCCCTCACCGATGCAGCAATGCACGTGATATTCAAAAGTGCTGCCGTCCATGGTGTCGTCCACCTGCTTCTTACACAGACGGGCAGATGCGCCCATGTGACCCAAGACGTGTTCCATGAAGTCCTCTTCCTTCAGCTCTGCCGGGAACACCTCTGAACACTGTGGACATTTCCGAGTCTCACCGTTTGCATTGATCAGCCTGACACAACAATACCAGAATAAGACTAGTCAAATGTGTCTGATTATACAAGTGAATTGGTTGGTTAAAGCTAACACTATTCTACCATGAACTTGAAAAAATACTTTAGTATTAATTAATTAGAGATATCAGACCACAAAAATCACTACTGACTGAAACATTCAGTTCGAATAGTTCTTCGATCTCACTATTAACAGTAGACATATTATTAAATGTTACCACTGTTTTGTAATCATAGTCTGTAAATAATGAAGCCTGGACCAGACAATCCAGTGATCAACATCGATCAACTTGATTGGGATATGATGACATGTGTCAACCAAGTCAGCGAGTCTGACCACCCGATCCCGTTAGTCGCCTCTTAAGACAAGCATGGGTTACTAGAAGACCAATTGTAACCGGGATCTTCACAGGTAGTTTCAGGAGGTTATGAGAGAAGCAGTCATATCTAACGATGTAACCCTCAAATCTACTGATATAAAAGAAGCAGGAACAGAAAAGTTGTAGAATGGTTATTCAAGTCCATAAATGTTGATATGACACTGCCGGCCCAGATACTAACAACTCACCACTTTCCATTGGCCATCTTCACAATGATGTCGTCCATGCCACTACAACAGACAGATGATAGTACAGGTTATACATACTAGTTCAGGAGATGAGAGTCATACGTCTGCTTGTTTCCAGGAGCTAACTCAGCATGATATTGTCAGAGCTATGATAATAGTGATGATTTTCTTTTTCTTCAAAACACTGGTTGCACTTCAAATCTCTACTGTTCTAAATTATTCTAAAAAAGTATTTCAAACCCCCAAAACTAGAGATTCTTAGCCAAGGGTGTTTTAGTAATTATTATAAACTATGAATAATGTACAATGTAGATATTAATACTAATAAAATTGTTAATTAAAACGTAGGTCATGTCAAAATCATTTCAATTTCCGTTTTAAATATTCTACGCATGATTTGATACAGCTTCAAAATGTTTCTTGATACAGGTAAGTGTGTATCATGTATTGTATAATTTATTATTCAGTGTAATCCTTGGTGACAATACCTGTCTGAATGTGTAGCGTAGGAAGGGGGAGCTGATGGCATGATCCCTGATCTGTTGACTGGCATCCCGTAGCAGTGGCCATCCAACTCATCTGAGCCATCTGGTGAACAAAGTCACATAGAAATCACAATTCCGAAATACTGACATATTGAGAAATAATCATGGCATCTAAGAAATTAATTTTCTTCAAAAAGCTGTATCACTAGCCAACTTGTATTCTGATAGCAAATCCAACAAACACTTGTGATGGGAACCTGAAGCATGAGAACACCACCAGCTGCAGACACAGCGCAGTGAAACTTTGGGTTCAGCATCATGGAACTGAATATCAGCTGTATCGCAGGATGCCATCTCAATCTATTAGGCAAGTGGAGAAAGTTATTCATGTAACCTACGACCTCAGGTAAATGGTAACTGATAAAGAGCTCTGGTCCCAATAGCCCCAAGTATTGCCTCACCTCAGACCAGTGGGCAATCTGTGTCACATCACTTGTACCACGAATGATCAGACAGTACTTCACACAACCTGTTCTCTGCAACACATACACACATCCTTTCACTCACAAATCATATCCCCAGCCACAAACATATGAGCCTACCTGTCTGTGGAAGTGTTGCCTTGACTGCTGCCAGTTTGGCCTCAGAAGTTACTTCGGGTTCCATGGGTCTGGGCAGAGGAATGAGACACGCTGAGGCATCCACAAACACCTCCTCTTGTTCATCGTATCGACTCATCTGTTGAGTCTGTGGGGGGTGGGAGACGGCAGCAGGGGTGCACATTGCTGCCTGCTCTTGGAGGGTCAGCTTCTTGGACTCTTCCTTGTACGGGTTGCCGTAGATGAGCTTGGGTGAGGAACAACAGGCCTCACTCTTCACTGGGCACACAACCTCTGGCTCTGTCTTCTTTGGGATGGTGCTTCTCTTGGCTGGCTTAGGCGTCTCACACTCCTGAAATGGTTGTCATGCTTTGGAACACATACTGTTTATCTGGCTGTACCAGATCAGTGAGAACACATTACACTATCACTATCAGCATCATAGCAGGGGATAGCAACACTGAAATTCACATATTACACTCATGTTGAACCATTCACATATTACACTCATGTTGAACCATTCACATATTACACTCATGTTGAACCATTCACATATTACACTCATGTTGAACCATCACATATTACACTCATGTTGAACCATTCACATATTACACTCATGTTGAACCATCACATATTACACTCATGTTGAACCATTCACATATTACATTCACATGTTATTACATTACACTCATGTCATGTTGAACCATATCACATATTACACTCATGTTGACATGTTACACCATCACATCATGTTGACTCATGTTGAACCATTCACATATTACACTCATGTTGAACCAGTCATACATTACACTCATGTTGTTAAGTGAAGCAGTCCTTGACATCACAGTTCATGCTTCAGCTCTATCGTACCACATGAACACAGAAATGCTTTGAGTGGTGCATGTTTCCAGAAAATAATATAAAACTTTCTTATTTATTGACATATGCAATTTTAGAAGAAACTGACATTGATATGTATCATGCAACTACATCTAACTCTGCTTATGGCTGTTGTACTAGTACAAAGACTGCCTTGTGGAATAGGTCCTTTCACAATAGAAGAGCTTTGAGCTTCTCTACTACTGGAACCTCCTCAACATAGCCACATGTCTATATTGTGCAGAGGCATACCACCCATGTATCATGATGACAACGATCCAAGAAGTTAGACAGAAATATGAACTGGTGCAGTAAACATGGTCAATTATTCCATCATTCACTGATACATTATTCATCAGATGCTCACCAGTTTGACATCTCGGAGTTTCTGGTTCAGCTCATCAATCATCTTCTGCTTTTCCTCCAGGTATTTCTGTCAACAGAGTCAACAGTGTCAGTGATGTCACATCAGTGGTGCCGTAATGTCAGTGATGTCAAGAAGTCAGGGGCATCATAATGTCAGTGATGTCACAATGTCAGCAATGTCATATTGTTTGTCATTTCACAATGTCATAACATCTATCACATCATTAAATAAGTATGACAACATCACCTAAATGATAACATGGTAATCTCACAGGACTCACAGGAGTTTGTCAATAATCTTATAATCAGTCATGGACAAATGGGTCTGCATGGCTCACTGAGTAGTTATCAAAATTGATCCAAGTATTGTGTACCTCTAGAGACATAACCTTCTGCTGCAACGCTCCACTGTCTCCAGATTCCGAGTCTCGGCCAGTGATGAGGTGCTTCAGTCTGGCAATTTCCACATCCTTGGCCTGCAGCTCATCGTGATAGTGGCGACGCAGGGTCTCCAAACGCTCCTTCTCCTCACGGTGCTGCTGCTTGTAGCGGTCCTTCTTTTGTTTCTCTGTGGCCAGCAAGGCCTGGAGCTCTGACCCACCCATTACTGATGTCTTGGCCACAGCATCACATGATGTACTGCGCGCTCTGAAACATACAACATGGAAGCATGCCATCCGACAGTTCTACATTGAGATTATGGGAGTTATCACCATCAGCATCCCAGAATCACATCAACAGGTTTGGGGGAGTTACCTGAAGGTCTTCTTGTCGTCAAAGAATTGTATGAAAGTATCCTACCACCTAGTAATGGTATCACACGGTTGACAAAATCATTCAGTGCATTTTAACAACTTAAAATACTCCCATGTACCCCTCCTGAGGTGTGGAGGATACGTGGATTCACACGTTTGAGCTTTCCGTACGATTTCATGCTGGATATCTGGACACCATGTGGTCTTATAGGGAGTCATGTTACTTACCTGGGCTGGACTTGCTGGAGGATGTCTGTAGTTTCTCAGTGGTCACACTCTCGCTCTCGCTCTGTGTGTCTCTCCATCTCCCTGTTGAAAGTTATTTTGTCTTGAGGGTTTAACTAAGTCTACATCAATCTGAACACAATGTTTTCCCTACATAATGTCACATATTTTATAAAGCAGTTAAGAAAGACTGTTTGTAGAGGTGACAAAAGCACTGATTTAATCTTAAAATCAATGGAATTGAAATCTATTCCGTTTCAGACTGAATGAACAACTAGAACCAAACAGCACATTCTGATGATGCACCCCTCCTCCTTCACATTACAGATGGGTAAAGATGAGCTGGGGATGCAATGATTAGTTATCTTTGAGCTAACTCACGGTGTCCTAAAAGCTTGTCTGTTCTCTTCTGCAGTTTCTTGTTCTCCTTGTAGATCTGCTTGTACTCTTCTGAGCACATGTGGATCCTCTCCTTCAGATCCACTATCTCCCGGTTCAACTCACGCTCGCGAACTCGAGCTTGTTTCTGATAAACAACATATCCAACACATTCAACAGCACTGTTGACACTGGTCTGGCTCTGTACATGGCACAGGGCACACATGGCAAACTATAGTCAACAATCACAAATTATTCTAACATCCTCAGTAGTGATAAGATGTTTTTTGCAATCTTCTTTATGCATTTAAGTTGTTAATCCAAAACAGTGACATAATTGAAACCAACATCACCACACGGTACATTCTGGTGGCCTTGACCTTTCACAAAACTAACTAAAGCCACAACAACTAGACAAAGTGAATACAAGTGTCAGGTGATTACCCTGCAAACAAGTGTTGAGCTAAAACTAGATGTCAGTCAGCCAGTCAATCTTACACTTGCGAAATCAGCAAACTTCCAGTCATGTGACAGTTGCGGACAAGACAAATAAGTGATTGATATTATGGCCTTCAATCAACACTATCTGGGTAGGACAACAAGTCACCAAGTCTAACAACCTGATTCATTGTCAAGTGTTATCAAGATGTTTGTATAACACAATATACTGCAATGATAGACACTAGTGAAGGGCATGCAGACCAAACAGGACAAACATAAGAGTTCCATGTAGACGTGTGTTATGACTATGAGAAGAAGTACAGTACATGTAAGCATCATGGTATAAAGACTGTAAGTGCTACCTTCTCATCTGTGAGTTTGTTGTATCTTTCATTCAGGTGCAGGAGTCTCTGCTTCAGTCCGTTGTTGGCCTGTTGTAGAGCAAACATTGGCCCCTCTGTACACTCCACATTCTCCTGAGTCTTGCACAGTTCATCTTGCAGGGAGCACACCTGGGCCTGGAGGACCTCCTTCTCCTGAAACACAACACTGACTGTGTAGTGTCGGACACACTTGTCTGTACTGGTCACAAACATAATGATGCTGCCAGCAAACCATGGAATCATAGTCTCACTGACCTGAGGTGAGGTGAGATGGGGTTTGCAAATGTCAATGGACATGTTTTGGCAAGAAGGCTCAAACATGTATAATGCAGATAGGAGATCAGTGTGACTGCCACGGCTGTGTCACCTTTACATCAATTAGAATACGTCAATGATAGATCGGACTGAAGATTGCGCATTTTCCCTTTCAGCACAACCCTTTTATCATCTTTGACTGTTCCTACCTTGAGAACATTCTCCAGGTCTCGGTGAATGGCCGAGTTCTCTGACAGGAGGACTGTGTTCTCTTGAGCAAAGTCTTCTTCCATGCGACAGATCTGTGTCTTCATCATGTGACATTCTGACTTACTCGCCTGAAATGGAAACAAAACAGTTAAAGCACCTCATTTGACACTGACTTACCACCATAGTAGGGACACATTGATGAAGCATCTGTTACTAACTGTGATTTACAACTGTGGACTCAGTATCATGCAACAACAGTCGATGTTAAAGATGCACCAATTTAAGTACCTCCCCTGAAATGTGTCTGATAAAATATGCCCCAGTCCCAAGGGTAACCAGTGAAGTACTCACTGCAAGGTCCTGTGACATCTTGTCCTGAGCATCCCGGAAGTTCTTCAACTCCTGCCTCATCAACTCCTTGGTGTTCTCCTCTGTGGCCAGCTTGTCTTCAGCATTGCGCAGCTTCTCAGTCAGTGCAGTAACATTCTCCTGGATCAGATGATCAAGCATGAGACGAATACCACTTACTTACTGCAGAACAGTCAGCTTTCTTTTATAAGTTTTATACATTCATTTTACAGTATTCAGATACATGAGATGACTTTGTATCCCTGCCATGTTCACCTGCTCTGAGTGTGTAACGTGGACCTGCTCCATCACACGCCGCTGCTCCTGGTGGAGTTCTATCTTCACCCGAGCAAGTTCCTCGCGGCAAGAGTCCAAAGCCTCATCCTGCTCCTCTATCTTCCTCTGCAGCTTGGCAGTGACCTTCTCGCTCTCTGCAATACCACTGGTCAGTTTCTCGATCTCCTGTACATGACCACCCACTGATGTCTCTGACTGGCTCAGATGGTTCTGAAAAGGGATATTTCATTAAGATGATGATAATTATTGGCAAAAACTACAATGAAATCAGCAGACTCAACATGCCGGTGGCTGATATGGTTATTGTCAATCAGACAAACTGATGTATGATTAAAGATTTGGCTCACCACTTTGGTAAGCTTATGTACCTATATGTGGTTCACATGCAGTGCATAAAATAGGGATTCCATCTTATCCATATTGGAGGAAACTGACATATCTTCCATGTCAGCTTCCAAAGCACTGAACCTTGAATGAGCCATGTTTCGGCACTGAGAGGCACCTGGCCTATTCTCCAAGAAACCCTGCAGAGAACCCCCAAGTCTGTATGCCTCTGATATAGGACGAATGTCTGGCCCATTTTGGCCAGCTCTCCCAGATATTTCTGCTAAACAGAGGGCCACCGGTTGTGTATCCTGGAGGATACGAGTAGCTATACTTAGCAGGGGCGGATCCAGGATATTGGAGAAGGGGGAGTGCACATAAATCATGGAGTCCAAAGGTAAGGGGAAATGCTCCTAAGGGAAAATATTTTCGGTGGGAGAAGGTGCTGGGTGTGGGGGTGCACACACGCACCCTTGCACCCCCATCTGGACCCGCCCCTGCTTAGAGCAACCTGTATCCTCCCAGAGGATACAACTACTAGCAATTTTATTGCCTACTCTCTCGGAGGACATGAGTGCTATACTGATGGCTACCTTTCCAGACAACTCTCCTGGAGGATACAAGCCCTTCACTGACTGACCTTGTACATCTCCATCTCCTCCTGCAGGGTCCTGTTTCTGCCTTCCAACTCATCCTTCTCATTCAGCAGTACCTTCATCTTGTCCTGGAGTGTATCCACACTTCTCTGCAGCTTTGACACGTTCACCTCCAGACTCTGATGCTCCTACACAATCACTTCACTACTTCAACTTGTGTATCCTTATTTCATTCATCATAACGAAGACTTCACTCAGACTCAGTAGTTGATGTATGACGGGCAATATACCACATTCAACCAAATGTGTTATTCACCTACAGGTCTTATTCACTAGCAACATATTAGCAGGACTGGATATTTCAGTCACTGATTATGTTTAATGACAAAGAGAGGGATTGTGGATGAATTATAAGGTAAAAGCTATAACAACAGTGGACACAATGAACAGCTGACACATGTAGCCATGTAATGGAATTACTAATAGTCTCCTTCAGGACATGTGATAATGTTAGTCCTGGTCACTGCACACACCCCATACCCACCACAAGATCTTTAAAACATACCTTCTCCTTGTCATCAACCTTTGACCGTAGCTCATCGTGAACCAGTGTCATATCATTAGCATCCGACAACATTTCATCTATTTTCTTCTCGTTGGCCTTGTACAGTTTCTGCACATCTCTTTGTTCCTGCTCTGACTTGTCCAGCTTCTTCTGCAGCTCCGTGATCTTGTCGGCCAGACTGGTCACCTCCTTGGACATGGTGTCTCGGTACTGTAACAACAAACATTCCATCACTACAGACACATTCAGTCTGTCCACTGCAGTTCACTCACGACCTTTTGGTCTTACAGTTTTGCCCTAAAAGGCTTCCACTACTGGGAACTCACTTGATTTATTACCTTATAACATCTAACTTACTTTCTTGACATATTTTTCAAATTTCTAACAGTATCTTTCTAAGTTTCCCAATCTTTCTACTTTGTCCAAGAATAAGACATAGGAACGGAATTAATCCAGTTTTAGATTTTTGCTGATCAGGATGATTATTGCTAAGTACTGCTATATACAAAATGTCATGTTTTTGTATTATGACAGAACCAAGATTGTCATTAGTAACAACACAAACCCCTGGTGATCCTCTGTCGGCCAGTTCTCACTAAGTTTGTACCATACCTTCATGAGGTCTTGATTCTCCTCCTCTTTCTTCTTGAGATGCTCCTGCAGGACCAGCGTGCGTGACCTGATGATCAGCATGTCTGTGTCTTCGTCCTCCACCTCTACGAAGTCACCAGCACACGGTCGCTTGAACTGGAATGGTGTGCTTGCACCACGGATCTGTCCAGCACTTGACACATAGCAGAACTGGTAGAATTCCCCATCATCTTTCGGCAAGGTGTGAGCTGTCAAAAACATCCACCCCATCAACATCAACAACACTGTCAAGATAATTAATGCCATCAACATCATCAATGTCATCAGCATCATCCAGTTAATTTAATACCATCAACATCATCAATGTCATCAACATCATCATCAAGATAATCAATCCCATCAACATCATCAAGATGGTCAATCTCGTCAGCATCATCAAGATAATCAAATGTCGTCAGCATCATCAAGATAATCAATGTTGTCAGCATCATCAAGATGATCAATGTTGTCAGCATCATCAAGATGATCAAATCATCAGCATCATCAAGATGATCAATGTCATCAGCATCATCAAGATGATCAATGTCATCAGCATCATCAAGATGATCAATGTCGTCAGCATCATCAAGATGATCAATGTTGTCAGCATCATCAAGATGATCAATGTCAGCATCATCAAGATGGTCAATGTTGTCAGCATCATCAAGATAATCATCAGCATCATCAAGATGTCAATGTCAGCATCATCAAGATGATCAATCAAGATGATCAATGTTGTCAGCATCATCAAGATGATCAATGTTGTCAGCATCATCAAGATGATCAATGTTGTCAGCATCATCAAGATAATCAATGTTGTCAGCATCATCAAGATCAATCAATGTTGTCAGCATCATCAAGATCATCAATGTTGTCAGCATCATCAAGATAATCAATGTTGTCAGCATCATCAAGATAATCAATGTCATCAGCATCATCAAGATCATCAATGTTGTCAGCATCATCAAGAGATCAATCAATCAAGATAATCATCAGCATCATCAAGATAATCAATGTCATCAGCATCATCAAGATGATCAATGTCGTCAGCATCATCAAGATGATCAATGTCGTCAGCATCATCAAGATGATCAATGTAGAGTCAGCATCATCATTAAGATGATCAATGTCGTCAGCATCATCAAGATGATCAATGTTGTCAGCATCATCAAGATAATCAATATCGTCAGCATCATCAAGATAATCAATGTCGTCAGCATCATCAAGATGATCAATGTCGTCAGCATCATCAAGATGATCAATGTTGTCAGCATCATCAAGATGATCAATGTTGTCAGCATCATCCAGATAATCAATGTCATCAGCATCATCAAGATAATCAATGTCGTCAGCATCATCAAGATGGTCAATGTCGTCAGCATCATCAAGATGATCAATGTTGTCAGCATCATCAAGATAATCAATGTTGTCAGCATCATCAAGATAATCAATGTTGTCAGCATCATCAAGATGATCAATGGTCAGCATCATCAAGATGATCAATCAGCATCATCAGGATAATCAAATGTCATCAGCATCATCAAGATGATCAATGTCATCAGCATCATCAAGATAATCAATGTTGTCAGCATCATCAAGATGATCAATGTTGTCAGCATCATCAAGATAATCAATGTCATCAGCATCATCAAGATGATCAATGTCATCAGCATCATCAAGATAATCAATGTCGTCAGCATCATCAAGATGATCAATGTTGTCAGCATCATCAAGATAATCAAATGTCATCAGCATCATCAAGATGATCAATGTTGTCAGCATCATCAAGATGATCAATGTCATCAGCATCATCAAGATAATCAATGTCATCAGCATCATCAAGATGATCAATGTCGTCAGCATCATCAAGATGATCAATGTCGTCAGCATCAAGATAATCAAATGCCATCAACATCATCAATGCCATCAACATCATCAAAGTTGTCAACACTGTCAAGATAATCAAATCCATGAACACCATCAACATAATCTAAACATCATCATGCTAACCTGCTAAATTTTGACTCGGCTAATAAATTGTCCTGAGGACAAGTAAAAATGCAATTCATTGATCATGCTGATGTTTGATTTAAGCTTGTCCTCTTCTACTTGATTTTTGATTTGTTGTTTATGGTCTTGACAAACAAGGCTCCCTTTGTCAGTTTTCTAATCTCAGCTCTCAAAAACCACTCATAACAGGATAGCTTGTGCTGAATAACAAGAACAACACTGGAAATATTTTCCAATTTAATAAATACCTTGGAAAAGTATTGTGGCCTCTGTCTCCTTCCCTTGTTCATAGTTCTTGGGTAGAGGGGACCACTCGTAGTAGATGTAGTCCCTGGATGACATCCATCCCACCTTGTAGATGCCCACCCAGTCTCGGGTGGAGGGGATGATGTCGGTGGTAAGTGTGAATGAGCATTCTACATGGGCATCTGCTGGGTAGGTGTCAGCGACATTGTGAAATATGACAGATGCAAACTCGGATCGCTGGAAGCGGACTTCTTCATTCGATACCACTTCAATCTTCTCTATCTCAGAGTCCGACATGATCTGGAGGAAAACAGAAAATTATGTCACCATTAGAGCTGAACAGTGTTACCGGTATACTGCAATGTGGTATATTGGGTAAGAACATATGAAGTTTTAATGATTAGCTTTATGGTTTTAACTAAATATACATTTCTAGTGGCCCAGATAAGATGCGTATCCGGGTAAAATACCCATTGAAAATTTCCAATTACGCATTGAAAAATACTTGTTGCGTACCAATTACGCATTTAAAATGTTACATACGCAAAATGTTTAAAACAAATGCCTACGGAATATATATATAAAAATCGCTTGCGTAATGAAAAAGGCATCGATTGCTATCAAGTTGTACTGATAATATAGGACTAGTGTTGTACTGTCAGTATAGAATGAGTGATTTTTTTTATGAAATCATTTCCATTATATTTAAGTTGGTTTTGATTAGGTATGACATAAGGCAGAACATACCTGCTTAGTAAACTTACTCAATGACATAATACTTAGGTTAGTAAAATGATCGAAATACGCACATATTTGAAAGCTGAGGGTTACTCACTCAACATTCATAATACCCACTCCAAGAAAATACAGTGGGTACAGTACACACATGAGCTAAATCTTATCTGGAGCTCTGCATTTCATTCACAGCAAATGTTTTCCTTCAGTATCCAATGACAAATCAACATGCTGTAATTCTATAAATTGTATAAAAAAGAAAATAGAATCTCTGACTATGCAACTTAATTTGGAGACTGCTGTTATCACAACCATAACTTATATGTTTGGGGACTTATGATGTACAAAATAGGATTGACATGCACACTTAGTGTCACTCACTGACAAACATTTAAGTTCCCAACATATTATTATTGCAATACGTATCACAGTACAGGTACCTGAATCGCAATATGTTGCAATAAAATTTAGTTGCCAATACACAGCCCTACCCTAGTAACCATTGTCAATGATGTCATCATTACGCAATGGTATGACTACTTGCAGGGCCTGGTTATTCACTAGTTCAGTATAGGGGAGCTGGTGACACCAGGACAGAAGGATCTGACAACAAGATGATAAGCGAGGTCATCAAAGAATGATAGTTTTTAAAATACACTTTATCAATATGAAATAAGGCCATAGAAAACTAGAATCCATTCCCAACTTTTCACAGTGACAACTGCTGACTAGCAAGACAAGTGGTAGAAGTTCACACTTAAATCATGGTCACCTTATCATCATGACTTGACCTTTGTACTTGCTCTGTATTACAAGGGGATAAGCACATTGAATCATACAAATGAAACCCCCAAAACAAGAAGGGTTTGATTCTACGGTAGTCTCATCACATACCGCACGTGCATTTGTTTCACTGTTCCAACTACTGTGCGTACCCCCTTGTAATACAAACCAATCATAGCGACTTGAAACTATGATCGTTTGTTAAACAACTTTTCACCTAAGTTGAATAAACTTCTGAGATTTAAAAATTCAATTGGCAAGGTAAAGTTATGAGGATTCGCAATCTTAATTTCACTTTATTTGATTTACTTTTTTGCTTAAAGTGAAATTCATCGGTACGTTTTCACTGCAAACAGACTATAACTTTAAAAGTTGACGAGTATCCCCTGCAGTCAACGGTCGACGGCATCCAGTTCTTTGTCAATTTTCTGTGCTTCCACGTTCCAGAAATCGCTTCACAACACTGTAAACTGTGTTCCGAGGTAAACCAATATCCTTGGCAATTTCACTGTATTTTTGGTGCTGTTGGAACTTCGCAGTAATGAAATCTTTAACAGACTGTGAAAATTCTCTTTTTTTCCCCATGCTACCAGGAAGTGGCCTGCGTAAACAGGTAAACAGGCAGACGACACAAAACGTCACGTGACTGTCACGTGCTGATAGAACAGGGTTAAATTTAGTATCCTGTTCAATTTCATGACCGTACATCACCTGTGTCATACAGAATTTGTATTTTAAATGAACCGTTAAATTTCATGATTCTCACTATTTGGATTTTTTTCATAAACTTTTGGCACACCGCTGTACATTGACTTGGTAGATGAAGTTAAATTTCAAAATGTTTTTATTTGTTATCATGATAATGAAGATGTAAATATTTATGGGTACAAAAGATGACTTCATTTTCCAAGTAATTGCAAGACGAAACTGCATTACACCCTTATACCAAACATTGCGTTTGCAGGTGGCAAAGCAGAGAAAACAACCCAGTCAAGAAATCTGGGATATCATCCGGGTACTCGCTGGGGGAAAACAATAACATAAACAACAAGTCCCGGGAAATTGCTCTAGATCAGTGTCCCTTTAAGCAAACTGATATGATCATCACTCGATGACTCCACGCCCTGCCACACAATGGCAGAAGTTGGGTTCAGGCTAAAATGTCACCACAGCAAAACAGCACCTGGCGAAAACAGCACCATTTGGACATAACGGAACCTCGACTTGGCGAAAACGGCAACAAATCTAAAGCTAAAATCTTATGGGGAAAACTAGTTTGTCGTTAGACAATCGGATTGCAGAATATTTAAATGCGTCTACTCTGCTGACAGTGATTGGAAAGGGCATCCCAATTTAATGTGAAAACAACGCAACCTTTGATATTTTTAAGTACATTTACTCAACTGAAATCGCCCAAACTCAGTGCGTGCTGGGAGGGACTTTAAGATGGTGCCTCTTGTCTTGTACACATGTGTAATGTGTAATGTTGACAGCGTTGTTGTTATTTTAATCTTGTTATTTCAATGAAATGAGTATGGTTTTACGCCGCTTTTAGCAATATTCCAGCTATATCACGACGGGGGGCACCTGAAATGTTAATGAAATGAACTGTAAATTAGATCTCAATGTTTTATATATGTTGATATACAATCTTGCTAATGTTATAATGAAATGAAATAAAACATAAGTCAACGTCATACTTTGTTATATATATGTTGCTATAATCTTGCTAATGTTATAATGAAATGAAATGAAATAAAGGAGCACCTTTAAAATACAGCACCACAACTTCTCGTGAGGACGATCTCTGCCGTAGGTCACGTGTCATTAAGACAAGCAACCAGTTTGTGAGAACCCGTCGGACGCGAACCCACGACCTTCGGATTGTTAGCTCAACAGCTAACCGACTGAGCTACGTCCACACTGTTGCACAAGGTGCAAATTTATCGAGTCATTCCGGTGACGTCACGGAAATGAACGGAAAGAGTCGAATAGGCCACGGACAATTACGAAGGTTACGGGTAGACTTGGTGTCTCGTGATTTTAATCAACAGACAATTGCCGTATGGACCCGATGCCATTTGGCACACTCGTCCCATTCCGTAATCTGCAAGATAACGTGTGGCGCGGAATGAGCCGATATGCCTCAAACTGAAAAGGGTTGTTGGCGTCAGGCGTCAGGCGTAGATTTCCGCGGTGCATGCATGAATGACGCTTTTATATAAATCGGTGATTTTGTGACAGAAAAGCGATGTAGGGAACACTGTAAGGATAATGTGGATCGCACTAAGGAACGAGGGAGACATGAGCATGTGTAGTGACGGCACGAGGGTGAGTTAGCCTTCGATTCATTACTGAACAAAATTTATGTTGCGTGTGAAAGAGGCTTGAGTGCAAATTCCAGGCCAATTTCCATTAGCCCAAAATTTCTACATTAAACCATTTCATAGTGTACTTTCGACGCTTTTGTTTCCCGTTTTTGTGTGAAAAAATATATTAAATGCAAAAGGAAAAACAACAAATGGTACTCACGTATTACACCGGACATGTACTTACAATATTGGATTAGGTCCCTCACCCTAAACCATCAGCCCTAACCCTAATCCCTTGAAATAATCCTAATAAATAGAATGCATTGACCGAACTGGCAGTATTAAAATGCAAAAGGAAAAACAACAAATGGTATTCACGTATTACACCGAACATGTATCTACTATATTGGATTAGGTCCCTAACCCTAACCCCTAAGCCCTAAACCCTAGCCCCTTGAATAAATACTAATAAATAGAATGCATTGACCGAACCGGCACAAACATGACTGACGTGTCCAGTGTAATGCATTATTACCGCTTCGAAAAATAAAATACTAATAAAAAACTTTTCTATGTAATGATGCAAATTACTGAATGACAAAAATATATATGTAAATTTAAAAAATACAAAATACAATAATACACAAAACATAACACCTCAGCACCCCGTGATACAAATAAATATGAGCGTATTCGTGAAAAAAGAAAAATATTTCAAACTGGTGCTTGCAAAATATTGAGCATCCGCCGGTATACAACTACTGGAAACTCTCACCATCGTTGGGCTTATGCAATGACATAGCTCGTAGAGATGAAAACCAGTGGTGAGCAGCTGAGCTAGACAACCGTGTTCGCTGAGCTCATAGGGCATTGTTTCGAGAACGTGCTTTCGAACAAAATCACATTACATTACGTAAAAGGGTATTATGACGTATTTTTAAAGTTTGTGGTGCTGTATTCTAAAGGTAGGCCGAAATAAAACATAAAAGTCAACATCATACTTTGTTTTATATATGGTGCCTTTGTAGCCCAGAAATCAGTAGCCGTTTACGCCAATATGGTGCTGTTCTGCTGTGGTGCCGTTTTAGCTATAACCCCAGAAGTTAACCAATGCTTTTGTTGTAAAAAAATGTACTTCTAGAACCTTACTGGTTTCTCATTATACCATTGTCAATCTACGGATAGAATGCACTTTACCGGGCGCAGCCGTCTCCCTTCACTTGCATCTTTAGAGTCAAACAACCCTTAACGATCCTTAGGGTTAGCGTTTAGGGTTAGGGTATGGCACCCTTTACGATCTTTAGCGTTAGGGTTTAGGGGCACCCTTTACGATCCTTAGGGTAAGGCACCTTTTACGATCCTTAGGGTTAGGGAAGTTAAGGGAACCTGGGAAAAAATGAGCCCGGTAAACTGCAGTACTCCCCAATCTACTAACAAGGAAGTCAAAGGATCACTTACATACTCTTGATCAAATCAATCATGGTAACCATAAACAAACATTATCTGTATTCATCAATCTGTAATTCTCATGAATAATATTATTTCACTGGAATATGTAATAACACCACAACACGGTTTACCTACCAACAACGAAGTCACTGAGCAGGTTTGAAAGTCTTACACAATGAGGCCCAACGAAGACTATTTTAGTCTTATTTTAGATCCACGTCATTCTGAACGCCAAACTGACGACATAGTCATAACAGTATGGAGTCCGACATATTTTTCTTTGACAATGAAGAACGACTCCAGACGTTCGGTCATCAAGATCAACATAACGTTTCAATCAGTACCTACCGTATGATACTCTGGACAATGAACAACACGTTTCCAGTTCAAGTCTTCTTGATCATTTCCCTAAACCAGCAAATATTCATCGAAAAATCAGCCTTGGAGGGGAATTTGCACCTTCTATTTTGGTTTTGCGATGTCAACATTACAACACTCAATACTATCTCTGTACAACTTATATCATTAATTGTATTTATGACAACAGTTATTTGAGTTAGAAAATATTTGCTAATGGTATATATACACATATTTATACACATATACATACTTATATATTTCTTTATATGGTGGGAAATGATTTTGGCATGTTTTGGGCCAGTATTGGATTAAATAACATAGACCTATAGTTAGTCGTATCTAGAGTATTTTTTCAACACGGAAGCGATTCATCCGTCACTTCTCGTCGTATCCGGAATCTTCCATTCGGTTTATTCCGGAATAGATCGGTTACTTAAGTACCGTCGGAAATAGAAAAATAAAGTGTTTTCACATTTATATTTACATTTTAGGTAGTTAATATGTGAAAGTTTGAAATATCTGTTAAACTAAGTTCGGCCTAACTACAGTCGCAGTGGGAGGAAGATAGGGAACGTAAAAGAAGGATATTACTGAGGTGAGATTAGTGCAGAAATGAACAATGCGGGTTTTTTTTTTTTATAAGTCCAATGCGACTTATTCAGAACAGACCATAGCTTTATGCAAATTAGTGTGCGATGATATTGTATTACAATGGGCACTTTTTCAAATGATCATTTTGAAATTAGTCTTAGCTTCGTTATAAACCATATCAGACGTAAAAAATAATAACTTTAACACTGAAACTATTAAGGATGTATCTACCATGGCGTCTCACTATCACTATAAAATGAAACAGGTAGGAGGGGTCGTCTCAAAAGCAAAACCAGGACGGGTGTCGCAGACGGTGGTTGGGGTCGGGCTGGGGAACTGATATACTAGGCACATAAAGAAACTGTGCATACAAAAATTTAAAATCAAAATTTATCAAACCTGTGTAGACATATAAGGATTTAAACTCAGAGATTAGTGACATGTATCCAACATACATGCACGTGCCACGTTCCGTGACGTCAGTGGGTTCGTCCTTGAGACGTGCAATACGTTGTTGCACGTGCATTCCGGGAAAGAGAAACAGAGCAAATGAATGCCACACAATACTGTCACTTTGGAAAGCTCAACCCCTGCCCTTGCGATCGTTCAAAAAATTAAACGGCTATTGAAACGCATAGCATGCCAAGGCTCACGTCTGCACAACGTCATGAGGCCACTGGGATGGTCCGTGGGGGAATGTCTCAACGACAAGTGGCTGCACATTTCCACTGCCTCCGGAACACCATTTCTGCACTGGTGAGAAGCTACCAGAACACAAATGACGTCATCGATCGGCCACGTTCTGGACGTCCACGTGTAACAACGCCAAGACAGGACAGATGGATAAGGGTGACCCATCTTCGCCACAGGTTTCAGACTGCAGTGATGACTGCCCGAACCATCCCAGGACTTCGACGTATCCACCCCAACACAGTCGACAACGTTTACGTCATCACGGGATCAGACCACGACGTCCCTCCATACGGCCTATCCTGACACAACGTCATCGACAAGCTCGCCTAATGTGGTGCCGAAATCATGTCCGCAGACCCTTGTTTTGGTGGAGAAATGTTGTTTTTACAGATGTCCAGGTTTAACATTTCCCATAGCGATGGACGTCAACGTGCCTATAGACGCGTAGGAGAACGTTATGCACAGGCCTGTGTCTTGGAGAGGAATCGCTTTGGTGGTGGTTCCGTGATGATTTGGGGTGTAAACAGCACGCCAAAGAATTCCTTTGGTGATTGTTCGGGGCAACTTAACTGGTGTGGGCTACAGGGATCAGATTCTTCGACCTGTGGCAATTCCTTTTCTGCAACGTCATGGCCCTGGGTTAACATTCCAACAGGACAATGCCCGCCCTCATACGGCAAGGGTTGCTATGGATTTCTTGCAACACCACAACGTTGACTTACTGCCTTGGCCTGCAAATTCACCGGATCTCTCCCCGATAGAGCATGTTTGGGACGAGATGGATCGACGTCTACGCCGTCTTCCTCATCCGCCAGATAACGTCCTTGACCTTGCAACAGAACTTGAGAGAATCTGGCGTGACATCCCACAATCCTTCCTTGCACGTTTGATAGGCTCTATGCGTCGTCGATGCACTGCTGTTCTCAATGCCGATGGTGGACATACCCGTTATTGAGCTTGTGACATGGTCGTTTGACCCCTGTCCCGCTTGTGGACTCGTGACGTCATTGTGATTGACTTTTCATTTGAAATTCTCCAGACTTGTTATGGTCTCATGATCCCTCCATTAAAGTTTATATGTACCTTTGACATTGTTATCGTACTTATCAACTGGGATAATATTTTGACAATGCACAGTTTCTTTATGTGGCTATAAATAGTATATATTAGCTAAGATAAGATAATCAACAGAGACATATTCAATACACATGAAAAAACATAAAATATCTTTGAGATGAACCCTGTCCCTGTGGGCAGCACGTGCATTTCATGCCATGTGAGTCCACGATCCGTCGTCATACCTGGCTGAGCGACCTAATTGCCATCTATAGTTTGATCTATTGATTTCAGCAGCTATTCGGTTTTTTTCTAAGTTTTGTCCGATTTTACGAGTAAACATGCTTTTCTGGATATCCTATTACGCATCCCCCTGAACGCCCAGTTCAGTTCGACATATGCTGTTTACAATTGTGTAAATTTTAGTGATACAGAGCAACAGCCTAAAACAGTTTTTTTCTATTTCCGACAGTACTTTAGTGTCCATTCTGCACGTCCCTGAAAAAGCACGACATCATATCTGTTTTCGCTTTATACATATAGAGTGACATTCGTGAATTAAGTATGTCGACACGGGTAGAACCATGTCGACCTACACTTATAAGTATTGGCATATCATTGGATTGTGATAATATCTGTGGACAAAACACATTACAAAAAATATAGAATGCTTGTGCTGTGTGCGTGCGTGCGTGCGTGCATGCGGTTGTATTATTGGTTCCCACTCAGCTTGTAAATGAAAAAGGTGGCTATATTGATGAAAACATGTAGATGTGACGTTAACTCACAGAACGGACCCACTAGAAAATACAATGCCTATATATGCCGCACCATCAGTTTATTCGTACTGTACCATTAATCACACGAATTTCTAAGCTTGTAAGGGAAATGTATTTCAGAATTCATATATTACTATTTCACGGGTCGGTTTGATTAAATAGCAAGTGTGTTAGGATTGTTGCATTTCTTATGTCCTAGCAATATATAAGGAACCTATAGGCATTACAGTGAACAATTGTTTCGCTGTTATACCTCGTGTACAGCTGATGTGATTCAGCTGAGTGCATTGTTTAAAACAAGGAAATCAGTATGTTTTGCTCGCGGCACATCTGTTTACTCTGTGTAAGTTTGCTTGAAGTTAAAGCCAATGAATAAACACAACTGAACAGACATGTACACAACACACGACATGTAAGTCCCCTGTATGACTGACTGACTGAGTTTAGTTTTACGCCGCTTTTAGCAATATTCCAGCAACATCACGGTGGGGATACCAGAAATGGGCTTAACACATTGTGCCCATGTGGGGAATCGAACCCGGGTCTTCGACGTGACGAGCCAACGCTTTAACCACTAGGCTACCCCACCGCCCCTCCCCTGTATGAACAATGGTAACAAAGATCCGTTAGCTGAGCGGGGCAGAGGGGTTTCGGTACAGGCACTACTAACCCGGATACAGAAATGTACCCTAAACAAAGTCAAAACATTGAAACGTACCCGGTACCCGAATCGGCGGACGAGTCCATTCCGCAACCAAAAACCGAAACCGTACACTATGTAGTTGTTGCAAGTGGTGGTGTGCATCGCGAAATATTCGTTACTGTGTACGCTCGTTTCTTTTCAACGCAATCAAACGCATCTAAAACAACAGTATGACAATTCCGATCAAGAAAACGGCAAAATGAGGAATGGAATCGTCCTAGGGTACTTTTCTGTATTCTGATTTTGGCTAGGGTACGTTACTGTTGGTACAGAAACGTACCTGGGGTACACAATTGTAGTACCCGTGCCGACAACGACCCCTTCAGCCCACTATCTCCCACTTATTCGAGACATGCAGCGTCGAACCTTTTCTAACTGACTACAAGACGACAAATAATGAGAGCGAAATCGACTCTACCAGAAGCGCTCGTAAAATATCCAACATCAACATTATTATTTGCCCAGATTAATACCCGTGACCATATGTTGGATACCATTTCGATAGTATAAACTCATGTCCATTCTCTGAAGATAAATGTATAGGTAGCCGTACTCGAGACTTGCACACCAAGAAATAGCTGAATTTAACAGTTCCTTAAAATCTCGAAAATATTCCTTGGTCAGTCAGAGCCTGGTGCTTCACCAAACAAATGAGTCAGAAATTGCCTAGGAGCTGACCTCTGGCCTCGTGGTTGATTCCATAATCACAACTTTAGAAACAAACATGAAAGTCTTATAAAGTGTTGAGCATATAAGACTTATAAAGGTTTAAAGCCGCATTCACAAATATTCTAACAATATGACGGTGGTCTTAAATAACCATGCCTAGACAATCCAGATATTGATATCACGAACATCGACTTATACAGTTGGGATAGGACGATGTGAATCACTCGATTACGTTACCGAGCCTGGCCACCCGATCCTTCAAGTTGTAACGGTTACTGAAGATAAATTCTAACCAGAATCTTCACGAGTCATTGCACTATATAAAGTTATTTCTAACTCGACAATTTAGCATTGTCCGTTCTGCCTGGCCCGCCATAGGTATCCAATCTACATTAGACCATGCTCTTAATGATAACTGCATTGCTGCGGGAGAAAAATATATACACATGGAACTTATTTCAGCAACCCCTAATACATGTACATTTCATCATAGTGATGTAGCCATTGATGATAACGATATGTCAGTGATGTAGCCATTGATGATAACGATATGTCAGTGATGTAGCCATTGATGATAACGATATGTCAGTGATGTAGCCATTGATGATAACGATATGTCAGTGATGTAGCCATTGATGATAACGATATGTCAGTGATGTAGCCATTGATGATAACGATATGTCAGTGATGCCATTGATGCGATATGTCAGTGATGTAGCCATTGATGATAACGATATGTCAGTGATGTAGCCATTGATGATAACGATATGTCAGTGATGTAGCCATTGATGATAACGATATGTCAGTGATGTAGCCATTGATGATAACGATATGTCAGTGATGTAGCCATTGATGATAACGATATGTCAGTGATGTAGCCATTGATGATAACGATATGTCAGTGATGTAGCCATTGATGATAACGATATGTCAGTGATGTAGCCATTGATGATAACGATATGTCAGTGATGTAGCCATTGATGATAACGATATGTCAGTGATGTAGCCATTGATGATAACGATATGTCAGTGATGTAGCCATTGATGATAACGATATGTCAGTGATGTAGCCATTGTTTACTGCCACATGTTAGGTAATGAAAAACAAGAGTTTGTGAAGCATGCTATCCATTCATATCATGAAAAGGAGTGTCTCTGCCTGGCTGTTCAAGGGTATAAGACTTGTGAAGATGCCATTCGTTTCATACGCGTTAACATGGCGCAGTGAAGACTTTCATTGGGTCTGAGATAGCAGATAGAGTGTATGTATGCAGCCTTCATGTCATTCAAGGCCATCAGGAGTCATCTTGGTTACTGCCCCTCTGCCATCAGTAGAAGCACCCGGAAACACCAACAAAAAGGCGCTGTCAAGGACCGACCAAGCCCAGGGCAACCCAGGAAGACCACTTGTCAACCAAGACCGTGCCTAACCCTCTCAAGGCTCTTGATTTGAGGTCTTGAAGTGTGATCAGGCGTCCAGCTCTGACCCATGAACATCAAAGGCAACATCTGCAGTGGTGTTCTGCTCACGCCGCGTTAATCTTTGGATCTGGAGACAAGTCCATTTGTCGGACGAAAGCAGGTTCCTGAATACGGGTGGTCGTCTGACAGTTTGCTCATTTGCCAAGGAACATTAATCCTACTGTTCCCATTGGCGGAGGCTCAGTTTTGGCGTGGGGATGTAAGTTGACATTGGTGACTGTACAGGGAAATCTGCAGCGCTGCATCAAGGACATTCTTCATCAAGTTGTTGTGCCTCATTTTGATAACTACCCATTGGTTACCCGAGTCTGACCTATTTTATGGACAGAACAACGCCAGGCCACATCGTGAGTTCCCGCATCCTCGATAATCTCCAGGGTATCCGTTCCAATAGTGGAGATTTATCGGAACGTATACCCTGGAGATGATCAATGATGGAGTTCCCGCAGAATATTGCTATTGAGACTCTCCCTTGGCCTGCAAGGAGCAGTGATCGGAACCCCATCGGGAACATCTGGGACATCTTGATCGTCCTTTGCAGGTCCTGTATAAAATGTGGGTGAATGTAGGGCAGCATTGCACGAGAAGTGGTGTCAGTTGCCTCGGGAACGCATCCGCAGGCTTATACTGGCGACATGAGAAGGGTGACACGTGGCGGATACACGAGGTACTGATGACAAACGCCTCGGTAGATTTCAAGGGACCTCTACAGACAGCAAGATCCAGCACTGCCTCATCATGTGTCGTATTCAATGAAATACTTTTCCACAAAGTCAACAGTGTTGGCATTTCCCATGGACAGAGCATACAAATTAACATATACTGCCTACATTTTGTTGTTTTTCTGTAGTCAATTATTCAATCTTCCATCAGATGATCAGGCGTTACTGCCCTTCTAGAAGTAAGAAAGTTCTGGCACCTTTCTGTTCATATCACAGTTCCAAAACAGGAAGGTGCTTCTCCGACTTGCAAATGTAAATACAGATTCTGTGACATTGATGCGAGACGGTGTTAGGCTACAGTTCCTACACTGTTTATAGCAAGCGTGGCAATAGATTTCACTTCGAAAAACAGGACGAACAAATGCTAAGAGAGTGTATACATGACATACCTAACAAGAACAGGACTTGACTTTGCCTTTACTCCATCGCTTACTGCGACGTCATGTCCAACGCATACAATATGCTTTGATGTCTGTCGAACTCTATGACGTCACAATATAGTGTTGCGCACTACCCAACTTGGACAAATAGTATAGGACAAATGCCGCTTCAATCATTTTCTCCAGTGGTGTCAGTTTGAAACACTTAACGCCGGGCTGAAAATATTATGCTCAAACGATGCTTCACCATATAACCAGTTCCACAATAACCAAAGGCTTTGCGATTGTTTTGAGTCAATTAATTTAACGAACTGTTTCCAATTTTGTGTTCCGAACGTAGATGAGATACACCTGTACTGAGTACTGTACCGTTTTCAAACTTTAAACAAAGCAGCCGCCTTAGATTGCGAATGACAATTGCAAGTATCAAATCAACGTTCGAAACCTCTTAATTGAAAATAGTTTAACCCCTAAATAAACGTCCCCATTTTCATGGTAAGGTAACTGTTAGGGTATGTGAAAGCAGTGGTACACTCCGTCTCGATCGTTTCTCTCAAAACCAATCGAATGTACAACACTAAGGGTGCCAGTCAAATCGCCCCAGCTACAAAACGCCCCAGCAAATTTGGTCAAAATGCCCCAGAATTTTTGTCAAATCGCCCCAGGGGGTAGGTCAAAATGCCCCAATTTATTTAAAATGGTTAAATATATCCCATAAATGCATAGTTTTTGTCAGCGCAAGCGTCCTCGTGCTTTAACTATAATAGTTCAGGGCGAAAGTGCTTTATTACACTATACATGGTAGAGCGAACTGTATTTCTTAAATAATATTATATGAAGTAAATAATATGAAAGTTGACAAAAACTATGCATTTATGGCATATATGTAACCATTGTAAATAAACTGAGGCATTTTGACTACCCCCTTGGGGCAATTTGACCAAATCTGGGGCATTTTTACCAAATTTGCTGAGGCGTTTTGTAGCTGGGGCGATTAGACTGGCACCCCGGGGGCCAACACTAAAACCTAAGTTTTGAGTTATTGGTCCGATGTTTCAGTCGTATCACTGTATATTTTGGCCTTTTCCCTGCCTTGCCTAGAGAGGGCTGGTATATGACGGATGCATTATTCTAGATCCGCGTTCTGTTCAGCTGGACGCGCATCCAACGGAACGCAACCCAACTTGTGTGTGGTTCAACATCTTCAAAGAGCAAAGTTCACTCACGCATAACGTCTCTATAGTTCCGTTACTGAGAACAGGTCCGCGCTATTTGAGCACGCGCGCGTATTTCCATCTGCATTTGGAGTCGTTTTAAGTTGAATCGACGATGATATATCTGTCTTTACCAGTTACCATGCATCTGATCGAGAACTGAAATGATCTGGTGGTCAACCAGTGTCGCTTTATACCGAGTTGTGTCCCCTGGAAGGTGTCTGCTGTGGATTTCCCGGCAGGAAAAGAAATATTTTTGCGCCAGTAGTTTCAAGATGGCACCAAAATCAGTTTGCATTGTCGGATCCGGGAACTGGTAAGAAATGTGTCTATGTCTCTGTATAGACCTGTATGTACTTGTTTACGCCTCTCATGTTGTATCCCGTGCCTTTGCTGTTAGCTCAAGGTCACCTATGTCATTGCGGTCATGGACACACTCAGTGTATCCTAAATTCGTGTTAGTCAAGTGATGCAATCGAAATGCAACTATCTATTCGATGCTGAGCTTTACGTTTTAAGATATTTGAGTTTTGTTTTGGTTTGTGGTTGATTTATGGTTATTTGGCACATGCAGGATGATATTTATCATAATGACATATTGTTCTACAGGTCGATCGTGTCAGTTATACAAATACTATCCAAGTTAGTTGCCAAGTATGGTGTTAATGATCAAGTAAATTCTGAGTTTTTTATTTGAATCTCGTCTCAAATAAAACTTTATCAACATGATATATAGGCATAATTAGAATTAGAAATGTGGTTTACATAATAACTTTTTACCATGATGAAATTCTCTTAGTTCCAGTGCTTTATCCTGTTTTCATGATGCTAGGAGTGTGTCTTAATAGATTGAAATGTAGATCTACCTATTGGGCCTTATTTCATACATTGCTTATGTAGGCTACATACTGCTGTATGGTGAATAAATCTATTTGCTGTTACTAAAAGCAAAGACGTATATATGTCTCAGCTAAAATATACAGAACTTAAGAGACAAGTTTGGGCTGGTAGGCTCAATAGACAATTTTTGACAAATGTAAATATGTCTCCAGCTATGCTACCTAATTGTATGTATGCAATGTACCCAGTGATTGAAATAATTTTTCAACTCAACCTCACAGCCGGGCTGGTGGCCCATAAATGTTGCCTGCCCAACTTGAAAGTTGCCTGCCCACTTTTTTAATTTACATTTTTGCAATAACTGACAAAAACAAACACATATCATTCTTAAATCAAATTTGTATTGATTAGGCAACATATTATGAGTGAGTGAGTTCATTTTTATTCCACACTCAGCAATATTCCAACTATATGGAGGCGGTCTGTAAATAATCGAGCCTGGAAAGCAACTTATTATGAACAATAACTTAATGAACCATTAAATATTTACAACCTGTGCACTGTGTGCTTATACAACTTTGAGCTAGATATCAATGTCACAGTCAGAGTAGTCACTGAGACAACAGATTCTTCAGAATCATAACAACTATCATCAGAACTGTCAGAGTCCTCTACTGTTGCCTTGAGAGCTGGATCTTGCAGTTCTGTTTCATTCTCAACATAAACAGTATCATTGTCATCTTTAGCTGTGAGAGTGGTGAGTTTTCTTTCTAGGTGTCGTGTTCTCGCGGGGTTTTACTGCAAGAACCAATGATGGATGGCCTGAGTTGCATCAGTAATCTTCCACCTCTTCAGAATTTAGTTGGACTGTCAAGAGATTTGACACTGTGGAGCTGCTCAGTTTGTTTCTGATTTCTCGCTTTGATAATTTTTAGCTGAGAAAATCCACGTTCACATTCTGCTGTGGAGCCAGGTAAAGTCAACAGAAGGTCAATCATGTGCAGACAATTCTTGTGTGTGTCTCTCCATAGGTTTCCCACACAACATTCCAGGACAGTTCTGAAGGCTTGTGACTGAAAATAACGATATCACATTTTATAACTGAATGAAGGTTATCATTTTACTTTAGGCAGACTATATTCAAAACCTTACTAACATAAACATTTCTTCTTTACTTTCTTTAGTAATTCAACATAGCTGATGTTTATTTCCCATGTTAGTTACAAGCATCCATACTTGACAGTTCCCTTTTGAACATACCTAAACTGTAGATATGAAATGCAATGTACATCACCAAGTGTATATAAGCCTTTGCATTCATAGAGTGAGTGATAACCCTGAATGATACTTTCCACAGCATGCATCTTGTATTTGTCTATAGAGACTATAAAACACAAGTGCACTGTAATTGCTGATGTCTATACAATAAGAAGAAGATAAATCATGGCCTGCAATTGTTTTTCTTTACCTATTGTAGATCTTAGTTTTTAGACTCATCCACTCCTGGTCAATCAGATCAAGCTCAATGTCAATACGATTCGGTGAGGAACTCTCTGTAGTGGTCTGTGATGGCTGTAAGTTTGTCTGCTCCAAACTCTTTGAAAAAGATCACATTTGCAAAAATAAATGCCATATGGAGCATTTGTTGTTTCATGATTGCAACTGACATGTTTCATGAATTGTATTATGAAATCATCATCTGTTAACATATTAATGACGTAAAAAATGCCTCACATACTAGAATGCCTCTCAAAAGTTCATCCATGACATAAATACTCAATAAATTAGGAGTTTTGCATAATATACAACACACCTGAATCAAATGTATCTGGCCATGACTTCAAATCTGCAAGGGAGGATGCAGAAAGTAGAGAATCAGTTATGTCGGAGAAACGACTTGACATGGATATGATGACTTCATTGAGCACCTTTTTCAGAGTGGACGATGAAACAGCCCTCCAGACAGTGACTGGCCATGGAAAGTGTTCTTATTCTCTACTGCGTAGATGAAATCCAGGTCTAAAATTAAACACAGTGCAAACTGTTAATAATGTAATATGCAAAATCAAAACATAGATGAATTTGCAATATTAAAAAAAAAAATAAAACAAAAAACTTTCTCAACAAAATGACTTACTTTTCTTTCATCTGTTCCAGAGTAGCAATAGTAGCCTTTAACTGTTAAATTGGCACTCATGGATGGTCACATCCTTTCAAGTGTAGTTCTGCTGATAGTTTGCTCAATGTGTTCAGGGCGTCATGAAGGAAATGAGCATACACTATAAGTGATCTCTGTGTTAGGAGCTTGAAGAGGGACTTTGCTTTGATCTGAGCAGAACTGTCTGCACCACTGCCAGGCCCTGCTGTCTGTAACAAGATTAACATGAACACTGAAATTAGTAACATTGGAACTTGATAATTTATAGCAGTAACTCAATATTGTGCAAGATGGTTTTAAACAGGTGAGCTGCTTGTTTAGTTTTGAATTTTAGTTTTTCGTTTAGTCAGTGCCGAACCGCAAAGAAAAGTTTGATATTTTATTAATATCTTTAAAAGATGCCAGAGAAGTTTGATGTTTCACAAATATCATTACTTATGTTACAGAAATATTACCTGGCCAGTATGGTGAACAAAAGCTTTATAGCCTTTCCCACAACTGCTGCAGAGCTGTGACAGTATGCCCAACCCATCTGGTGCCCCCAATCCTCGAGAGGGCATCACTGGTGCAACACCAAGTGATTCAAAAGATCCCTTTAGCATTGATCTGAATCAAAATTTTTATCATTAATAAAACACATAATAAGTTTGACAAATTCAAACAACAGTAAGCTCAACATCTAATTTTTATAACTGTCAAACACTGACTGTCACTGACAAGCAGAAAATTTAGAAAAAGAACATTTGCCAAACTTATGCCTCAAAGAAGCCATTATAATCTGATTGTATGATATTTTAAACAGTACTAAATTGATTGAACTCAATACTGAAGCAAAACTAAAAATAAACAAACCTTCAACCTTGAACTTGCAAGTAGCTTAATGAAATTATGAAGTTTCATGGCTGTACAATTTACTGAAATTAAACAAAATAAAATTGGTGTACAAATTATAAATTACAAAAACAATTATAAAAAGCAAAGACAATAAAATTATGTACTTCATGAAACAGAAGTTTACAAAACTAAAAAATTACATAGTCAAATTAAAAATTTATGAATAAATAAGGGTAAATTAAACCAACAATGAATGTGAAGAACTGAAGCCTTAATTCTTAACCGTCATTACAGTTTTAAAAATGTATGCTAACTGCCAAGTCCTTCAGATTTTAATACCTTTCAGTTTGTTGGGGTAAAATTAAACACCATGTGTTTTTAGTTATTTACAAGAGCAATTGAGAACATTTAATTATAATAATCATTTTCACAAATTTGAATTACTTAAGCTGCATCTTATCTTAATAACAAAAAAAGAAAGGATTGACATTAAAAAGTTAACTTACCTTTGAGATAACCCTTGTAGAAAGAGTAGAGAAGATGAAGCATTTTCATAACGTCTGCATACTGTTTTGATGTTTTGAAAGCCGCCTTCAGCTAACAATTCCAATCTGTGGGCCATGCAGTGAATCATGACAATGGCAGAAGAAATGTTTTTTCTGAAGATGGACGATGACACCATTCTTTTTCCCAGTGTTAACAGATGCACCATCACAACCAAAGGCAATCAGCCTATTCTGACTGGAATATCTGTGAAAGTGTTCATTGCTTTGAGCAATGCTTGATAAAATGCCAAGAGAATCTGCTCTTTGACATGGATTAACTTGACTAAAAATACAAAGATTTTTCCTCTGATAGCACATCTGAGGTAGACAATTTCATTTTCTTGTGTGCTAACATCTGTGGAGCCGTCACCAATATTGAAAAGAAATTGGCATCTTTAATCTGTTGTTCAATTTTCAAATTCTCAGTTTCTGCAATAGCTTGTGTAAACGAAGCAGCAGATTTATCTGATGCATATGCTTTACCAGTTTCAATTCCTTTTCTGGCATCAAGTTTTCGTTGCCAAACGTAATCCATAAATGGTCTTGAATTTTTAGCTAGGGCATGACAGCTGCTAAACAGTGTATTCAGGGTTTTGAAAGCTTTTGCATTCAGTTTTTCCATCGATTGCTCCGCTGGAGATTCCCGGGTCTCATTTCCTTCTGCTTTGTGAAATTCCACGGCCCTAGTATGACCAAATGACAGATGATGGGTTTTAAAGCATCGTGTTTCAAATTGAGACAACCAAGCACAAAAGGTCCACGTTTATATCTATCATAAGAGGAAGGAATCCCTTGTTTGCGACAGCGGGCCGTAACACGATCTGCATATTTTACAAAACAGAGATTGTTGGTCGGTTATCAACCAGGGAAATTCACCGCTCCACTTACTCTGGTATTTACGTGTTCGTTGGGTTGTTTCATACTCTTACTCTTTTCTTTCTTCTCAATATCCTTTTCTTCTTGTGTTTTGGTATGAAAATCTTTACAATTAGTCAAAAACTGAATATTTTGACTGCGACATCGTGGTCTCCCTCACGCCGCCATTTTGTAACCAATACAAACGAGGTAACGCCTTTGATTGGTTCTTTTAACCATGTGCCTACTGATATCCAATCATAGCGTAGCTTTTTACTAAACCAGCCAGTTTTAGTGTCCTATTACTATCTTCACTGGCAGAAGAGTTGTCCATGTATACTCGTGGCTTCCATTCATCTTTCTTAAATCTAAATATGACATGACAGTTAAAATGGAATGATCGTCCTGAGTGCGAACTGAAAAATGTCAACCATAAAAAATTCCAGCCAGACCATCGGGCTGGTGGAGAGAATTTCCAGGCAGCCCGACTCAACGTTTACCGGCCACGGGCAGTCGGGCAGGCCGTTATTTCGATCACTGAATGTACCATGACTTTCCTTTTGAACACGAGCTTGTGACTGGCTGCTGTGGAGGTGCCAGGGGAGTTTTATTGTCTGCTCTTGTTGGCCAAAATTTATAATCAGGGTACATGTAGATATATTGAAGCAGATACAGGCTACAAAATGAAAGTACACAGGTCAAGAGGACAATGGCAGTAATATTATTTATGTACCGAGCAGAAGTCTGAAAAGCTGGACTAACAGCATTGGCAGTTCAAGTGTTTTGAAAAAGTCATAAAGTGAACAAAAAGACTAATAAAAAAATAGGAAAACAGAAATGTCTGTCTAAGCCTGAATGTATTAATATTTGTCTGCAAGATGCAGGCAGTACAAACTGAGATTAAGTAACAAGTTCAGCTAGATGTTTCTGCCTTATGGTATCAATCTATTATCAACAAGTATTTCATGTGAAAAACTATTACAGGATCAGCAATCAGCTGTGATATTGTAAATGTCTGTAATCTGCATGCTTGTTATTGGTCATAGTTTGCTGCTTGTTGTTAACAAGGTGATTTCCGAGCTGAAATATAAAAACTAACCCTGAAATCAGTAGGTACAGAACAAAATTGTGTCATCAGTAATTGATTACGTTAATGTGTAAGCATCACGTTACAGTGAAACTCAGTTTTAGGGTCACTGTATGACAATACAATAGGTGAAATGTGTAACAGTAGCAGTAACATGCCCTAGAATCAATGTGACAACGGTACAAGAATCTGTATCAAAACGTCGTGCACTGTCTGCTTGTCTCGTAAGTAACAGAAACAGAAATGTACTGATACTTGAGTATGATAGACTTTTAATTGCTTTTGAATCAGTGAATAACTTTTCTGACATAAATTGTATTTTTAAACATGACCCTTTAATATATGCATATGACTCCATTGAAGACACAGAGTGAGTAAAGATGACTCCCATATTTGGTAGCCTATAATCATGATAATAATCCTGTTGTTGCTCATATATATACAGCTGACATAATAAATTCTGTCCCTTCCCGAAATTTCTGATCCATCAATCTGAAATGTTTGTCAGTAATCAGGAACTAGATTTTCGAAGCTCTCCTAGTGTTAAGATGGTCGTAAGTGCCATACATTAACATTAACTTATGACTATCTTAGCTCTAAGAGAGCTTCGGAAAGAATTGGCCCAGAGGAGGTAAAATCTACTGCACAAACAGCAGACAAAGATTTATGAGTACTTCAGTCATGTGCTGACAGTCACTGCAAATAAACTTTCAATGATCCCACAGCAACATGACACTGTCAAATAATTTACTGATTGAAAACAAATTTTCTTCAGGATAATTAAAGAAAATGAACTAATTTAAAACACCTCCATCACATAACTTGAATATTGCCGACTTTTGCATAAAGTATCATTTCACCACTCACTCTTTCATTTTTATGACCTGTGTCCTGTATGGACTCCTGGTTACTTAATTGTGAGTCAGCCGTACACTGTACATGTCCAGGAAGGACTTCTTCAGACAGGGACACTGTCATCTTGTCTGTGGTGAGTCAGCCGTACGCTGTGCATGTCCAGGAAGGACTTCTTCAGACAGGGACACTGTCATCTTGTCTGTTGTGAGTCAGACGTACACTGTACATTTCCAACAAGGGCTCCCTCAGACAGGGACACTGTCATCTTGTCTGTTGTGAGTCAGACGTACACTGTACATTTCTAACAAGGGCTCCCTCAGACAGAAACACGGTCATCCTGTCTGCTGTGAGTTAGACGTACACTGTACATGTCCAGGAAGGACTCCTTAAGACACCTTCTGGGCTTTAAGTTGCCGCTGTGCATGTTATATTGTATTGATATGATATGCTCTGACACAGCAGGTTTGTTTATTTCAGGGGGTCAGCAATAGCTAAGATTATTGGAAATAATGTCCAGAAACAGCCAGATGTGTTTGCGAGAACGGTGAAGATGTACATGTATGAGGAGATGGTGGATGGACGGAAACTGACAGAGATCGTCAACACTGACCATGAGAATGTCAAATATCTCCCAGGAATAAAGCTTCCTGAAAATGTGGTAGGTTCATAATTGAGTATTTGTAGGATGCCTTGATATGCTTAAAATGTTGATCACTGTGGCATAAAAAATAACATCAATGGGCCCAGTTTATTTTTCTGTTACTGCTTGTGTTCAGTTTGAAAATCTTATGTGACCCAACTACATTTATGTCAAAGGTCAAGGTCATCATTGAGATTATTGGTAAAAGAAGGCTGTCTCTTACCTTTATTGAATATGGCACAAAAATATTACTTATTCCACTCTCACAGTGTATGTATGTATCCAGGTGGCTATCCCAGATGTGAAAGAGGCATGTACAGGGGCGGACATGTTGGTTTTTGTCCTCCCCCATCAGTTTGTCAAGAAGGTGTGTGAGCAGATGAAGGGGAACATCAAACCAGGGGCTGTCGCCATTTCCATGATCAAGGTTAGTCATAGGTTCCACAACCAATCTCAACCCAAACATGCTGATTTACACTCTCTGTTCAGGGGCAGAAACCAGGAATTTTACCATACATTGGGTAATCACTGATTTTGGTGAACATGTCATTTGTTTGTTTTTTGAACATTTGTTATGATTTTATCGCCTTTTGACTCACCATTGTCAAATCTGATTAAAATCTTGAGAACACTTTGAATTCAAGCTAGTCATTGTCCTAGAAATGTTATTATTCAGCATCTTCTTTCAATACAGTGCTTATGTCACTAGATTTGGGGAGAAAAAAAATAGTTCTAGATTTTCACCGCATTTGTTTGTTAATATACTGATGGTATTAAGAAAGGGAAGACATCTGGAAATTCTGTGACCTTCGTTGAACATGAGGCTGTAAGTTTCCATTCTGTTTCATTTTGAAGTGTTTCCAGTGTCCATAGGTGTACTAATTCTTATGCAATATGTCTGGTGACATGAATCTCATGTATAAGGCCAAAAACAATATATGTCTGTTTCGTAGTATTACATGCTTTTTAAAAATAGGGTAGGTGGGTCGATTTTATCTTCTTCTTTTTTTTAACTTTTAAAAAAAAAATTCAAGTAGCACCAGGTGGGCACCTGAGAATGTCTTCAAGGATACCACATGATGTTGTTACAAGGCCTTGTGATGAAATATTGAAAGATTTCTATATCAAATCATTATTCAAGTTATTTATATGCAGGTTTTGTCTGTGAGAGCCCATTAAGCCAAATCAATGTAATCCATTTTAGCCCTATGTACACTGAAAAGCATGAAAATATCATACTCGATTTGGATGAAAATGATGAGTTGAAATGCACTCCAGGGCTACAGATAAGGGGTGTACATGCGTAATGTACGCCTCAAAATCAATTAAGTATGACACAATATAAGATTTCAAGCGTATCGTGTACGCACATAAATACCTTCGTACGTCTAACATTTAATTTCCGTGCGTATCGTGCAAATGGAAATCTATTTCGGATAAATACTTGTTGTCAAGAGTTTCTTTGCGAAACACGATTTGACACATAAGGAAACCCCGACAGTAGGAATCCCTTGCGTTGCCATGCAACGATATGCGTCACTATTTTTCGATTGGCTAAAAACTACACTGTTCCTATGTATATCCAGTCGGACCTGACATTTCGAGCATCACACAGTCGCTCAGTAATTTCTCACGCGTCTTCAAATACAAATACATGGTTGGAAATAGTAATCGATGAATCGTCCAGACAAACCACATCTACTCGCTGACACAAACACATGTCAGTACTCCTTCAAAATTCTCAGTACACCTCCACTTGCAATATGATGTGTAAGTACACTCACACCCCCAAAAGTTATCTGGAGCCCTGCACTCCAGTCATGATTTGGATTTGGTTAAAAATAGATTTAGGGTCGGGGGGTTAGGATAGGGTTTTTCGGGTAACCGTAAACAGACATACATGTATTTTGGAGGGGGGCCTTTTGCAAAACTTGACAATAGTGAATTGTTATACTTCCATTGAATGTTTCAGGGATTTGACATATCAGGAGGAGGTATTCAGCTGATATCTAACATCATAGCCAAGGAACTAGGTACTGAGTGTGCTGTTCTCATGGGTGCTAATCTTGCTAAAGAAGTTGCAGAGGAGGAATTCTGTGAGACAACGATAGGTAGGTTTATAGAAAACTGGTTTCATCTTGTCCAAAACTGATAACAAGCAGTAATTGAAGACAGGCCTGCTACAGACACTTCAGTGTCACATCCATGACCTGCCTGTCTTTACTGGGAGTATATACCCGTGAAGGTCTGGGTTAGAATTGATTGAGAACACTTTGAATTCAAGCTAGTCATTGTCCTAGAAATGTTATTATTCAGCATCTTCTTTCAATACAGTGCTTTATGTCACTAGATTTGGGGAGAAAAAAATAGTTCTAGATTTTCAACACATTTGTTTTTTAATATACTGATCGTATTAAGAAAGGGAAGACATCTGGAAATTCTGTAACCTTCGTGGTACATGAGGCTGGAAGTTTCCATTCTGTTTCATTTTGAAGTGTTTCCATTGTCCATAGGTGTACTAATTCTTATGCGATATGTCTGGTGACATGAATCTCATGTATTAGGCCAAAAACAATATATGTCTGTTTCCTAGTATTACATGCTTTTTAAAAATAGGGTAGGTGGGTCGATTTTATCTTCTTCTTTTTTAACTTTTTAAAAAATTCAAAGTAACACCAGGTGGGCACCTGAGAATGTCTTCAAGGATACCACATGATGTTGTTACAAGGCCTTGTGATGAAATATTGAAAGATTTCTATATCAAATCATTATTCAAGTTATTTATATGCAGGTTTTGTCTGTGAGAGCCCATTAAGCCAAATCAATGTAATCCATTTTAGCCCTCATGTACACTGAAAAGCATGAAAATATCATACTCGATTTGGATGAAAATGATGAGTTGAAATGCACTCCAGGGCTACAGATAAGCATGTACATACGCGTAATGTACGCCTCAAAATCAATTAGAGTATGACACAATATAAGATTTCAAGCGTATCGCAGTGCATGACATAAATACCTTCGCATCGTCTAACATTTAATTTCCGTGCAAAGCATGGAGTGCAAATGGAAATCTATTTCGATAAATACTTGTTGTCAAGAGTTTCTTTTCATAAACACGATTTGACACATAAGGAAACAGACCCCGACAGTAGGAATCCCTTACTGCGTGCCATGCAACGATATAAGCGCCACTATTTTTCGATTGGCTAAAAACTACACTGTTCCTATGTATATCCAGTCGGACCTGACATTTCCACAGTCGAAGATCACACACACAGTCGCCAGTAATTTCACTGGCGTCTTCAAATACAAATACATGGTTGGAAATAGTAATCGATGAATCGTCCAGACAAACCACATCTACTCGCTCACACAAACACATGTCAGTACTCCTTCAAAATTCTCAGTACACCTCCACTTGCAATATGATGTGTAAGTACACTCACACCCCCAAAAGTTATCTGGAGCCCTGCACTCCAGTCATGATTTGGATTTGGTTAAAAATAGATTTAGGGTCGGGGGGTTAGGATAGGGTCTTTCAGGTAACCGTAAACAGACATACATGTATTTTGGAGGGGGGCCTTTTGCAAAACTTGACAATAGTGAATTGTTATACTTCCATTGAATGTTTCAGGGATTTGACATATCAGGAGGAGGTATTCAGCTGATATCTAACATCATAGCCAAGGAACTAGGTACTGAGTGTGCTGTTCTCATGGGTGCTAATCTTGCTAAAGAAGTTGCAGAGGAGGAATTCTGTGAGACAACGATAGGTAGGTTTATAGAAAACTGGTTTCATCTTGTCCAAAACTGATAACAAGCAGTAATTGAAGACAGGCCTGCTACAGACACTTCAGTGTCACATCCATGACCTGCCTCTCTTTACTGGGAGTATATACCCGTGAAGGTCTGGGTTAGAATTGATCTTCAGCAACCCATGCTTGTCGTAAGAGGCGACTAACGGGATCGGGTGGTCAGGCTCACTGACTGGGTTGACACATGTCATCGTATCCCAAATGCATAGATCGATGTTCATGATGTTGATCCCTGGATTGTCTGTTCCAGACTCGATTATTTACAGACCGCTGCCATATAGCGGAATATTGCTGAGTGTGGCGTAAAACTAAATTCACTCACTCACTCACTTCTGGGTGTATAGCAACGCATGCCATGAACTGAGGGACCATGAACTTCAGTGGAGCTTGGGCATCATCTACAAAGGGGACATAACTCTGTTGGATCAGTTACTGGTATTGGCCATTTAGGAGATAAACATCATGTGTTGGGCAATTTCCGGGTGTTATTGAGTATTTGAAGCACAGGATTCATTTGGAACCGACGGCGTCAGCTTCAAATGCTCAATTACACCCGGAAATTGCCCAACACATGATGTTTATCGACATTGTAAACACAAAAGTAAACCAAAAGGTCCACACACGTTTTTGTGTCTGCACTCATTGACATTGAGTACGGGTACAGCAGTGAAATGTAACCAGCCGGCCGTTTTGGCTGTCTCCCATGGTACCATCTGGAACTGTTCATTTGTGACGTCATTCGGACTTTACGTCACAATATGATTTTAATGACGTCATCACAGCTGACGACGTAACAATACAATGATGTGAGCGATGTTTGAATGTATTAATACGCAGCGAATTTCCGGGAATCGAATACCATTTGATCATGTTTTTCAACCAATCAGATTAAAGAACACAGTGACTTTTGGTTTACAATCAATGTTGACGCCTTATAAATCATCTCAATCCTCATGGTGTTCATTTATTTGATACTGTACATGAAGGTCTTGTTGACCCATGGCCATTAAGTGCTTCACACTGTCACATACTGATATCCAGATACACGAACAGTTCAAGTAATATAGGACCAGCATCTTCAGCAAGGTGGTGCTATTGTTTATTGGAGTTCTTGTGTCCCAGACATGGGTTGTTGAGATATGTTTGTATTGCCAGGATCTAAGACAGACTCAACTGGCCAGCTGTTCAAGGACCTAGTGGAAGCTCCATATTTCAGAGTGGCAGTGGTGAAGGATGCAGACACAGTGGAGATGTGTGGAGCTCTCAAGGTATACAAATCATTGTACTGATAACAACTGTGGTAAAACTGAATTATTTCTATGTAGGTTTGAGTGAGAGAGTATTGTTTTATGCTGTCTGTAGCAATATTTTGGAAGTATTTGGAAACTATATGCAGATTTGCTTATTCTCAATAATTGGCCACTGTAATGACATTTTCTTTGACAGTTAATTATGCTGATTTTTAAAAACAGTATCATGGTATGTGATCAGATTGTATCTTGTCAAACCTGTTGAAATTGTCATCAATTAAAATTATCATCCCAACTTTCTGTAGTTATACAGTAAATTAATATATGTATGAAATGTGTCCATGTTGTCTCCAGAACGTGGTTGCCATCGGCGCTGGCATTGTGGATGGCATCAAACAAGGAGACAACACTAAGGCGGCTGTCATTCGGCTTGGGCTAATGGAAATGATCAAGTTTGGTGAAGAGTTTTTTCCAGGTAGTGTATTCAACTTATTTGTGCAGGATTGGAGTAAAATCCTGAGAAATGGTGGTTAACTGACATGAAGTCTTTGTTCAAACCTATTGAATCAGAATCTGAATCTTTTGAAGTAGATTTTAGTGTGATTTTGTTTGTTAGCAAGAGTTAACCTTGACACAAGGCCACAGACCGATGCTGCAGACTGGTGTTAAGTGAAAACTTCTACTTCTTGAGTGTCTCCTTGAAACTACACCTGGCCTTGAAAGTAGAAAAAGAAGTGTTTTCCTCAAATAATGTGATCCATCAAGTCTGGGGAAAAAAACAATTGATGAATAGAAAGGATATGATGTGTCCCTTTAATTTTTCTGCTTTTTCAGAGATATCTTGAATGCTTTCAGGGTCAAAGAGAAATACCTTCTTTGAGAGTTGTGGCATCGCTGACTTGGTAGCTACCTGCCATGGTGGACGCAATCGCATGTTGGGGGCAGCAGTTGTGGAGTCTGACAAGGTGAGGGGTATCATTGACTTGGTAGCTGTGTGCCGCAATCGCACGTGGTTCGGTTAGACAAGGTGAGGGTTTGGTTGGCTGGTTGTTGTTTAACGCCGCACTCAGCAGTATTCCAGCAATAAGGCAGCAGTCTGTAAATAATCGAGTCTGGACTAGACAATCCAGTGATCAACAGCATGAGCATCGATCTACACAATTTGGATACAAAGTGTCAACCAAGTCAGCAAGCCTGACTACCCGATCCCGTTAGTCGCCTCTTACGACAAGCATGGGTTTCTGAAGACCAATTCTAACCTTAGATTTATAGACTATAAACCTTTTGTGTCTTTTTTTTTTAGAATGTGACTTTTACTTTATGTATGATGACACCAACAGTGTTCCATACTTTCAGTCAATTAAAGTTCTGGAGAAGGAGATACTGAAGGGTCAGAGTTTCCAGGGACCTCTTGTTGCCAGGGAGGTATATGCTATGCTGGAAGAAAAGGGACTGTGTGACAAGTAAGTGGTCCCCTCATTACTGGAGTGGTTCAGAATTGGCAGCAGTGCATTCTGTTATACAGGGCAACATGTGGTCTATTGTAGCTAACCGCCTCCGTGGTATAGTGGTAAGAGCGTCCACCCAGAGAGCGGTAGGTGGCGGAGTTCGATCCCGACCCGCCGCCATACCAAAAGACCATAGCCGCAATATCTTCCAAAATATGGTACTTGTTGGTGCCTGCCCTTGGCCTTTGATAAAGCAGTGTTGTTTTGTCCTTCAACAGCCTTTTAATATGGCCAATATAATGTCAAGGACTGGTCTATGGCGTCACTCAGAGTCGTTAAGGTTGAGTATAATGTGCCTGATAATGGGGAGGGCCGTTTCATGATAATTCCATGGGGTACTTGTTGGTCCCTCATGCTTACAACAAGGACGGAGTGTATAATGTGCCTGAGTGGGGTATTCATGCTTCACTGTGGCATGGTATCTCAATTTCACCTCACCTCACCTCTATTGTAGCTAGGGATAGAGAGAGTATGTGTGATAGTGAAGGGTCTGTTCCTGGGATTCCTTGTAGTAACAGATAGAGAGAGTTTTCTTTACTATTAGTACTATAACTCAGTGTTTTCACCCAGATTTGAAAGGCCAGCATTCTGTCTCCCACACTCAGTAGCCATGATGTACAGGTCCTATTGAAGCAGCAATAAACCCAAGTTACTCCCTCACTCACTTCTTTCTTCAGGTTTCCAATGTTTGTAGCAGTACACAAGATTTGTCAGCGAGAGATGGACCCGAAGCTCTTCATATCTTGCCTCAGGAGTCACCCAGCACACTTGTAGAAGAGACGACTCTCCACACGGAGCAGCAGCCATGTTGAACAAAGGCAGATACTTACTATAATGCACACAGATTAGGATGATGTCTCAAGTTGTTTTGTGGAGAACTGTAGTCGATCAGGGTACACACTTGATCTCATGCTGTATTGACGTCACCAGTGAAGTATCAGTAAAATGGACAGTCAGGAACTGAACCGGTGGATAAAGTGGAACAGTATTTGTAGGACATGTCATATATTGATTACAGAGATACATGTTCTGATGAGATTACAAGACAACGATACAGGCGTGATGGGCGTCAGCTGCTAAGCATTGACAAAACAATACTGGTATTATGAGCACTGTTACCAGGGAACTGTTTCATTCATGAAGACATCTGCTGATACATAAATTGATATATGTGCATCCTTCCCAGTGTGTGGCAGTGTGATTTAGCTAATGACCCATTCTCATTACTTCCAGCTGCTAGGGATGGCTGTGTATACTAGTTAATTAAGTTAGTTAGCTGTTGCCAGTAGTATCAGTTAGTGGACTAGTTCCTGGAGACCTGTCACTAACTCTAATGTCACCTTAACCTAGCAGGCATGAGGTGTGTGTCAGATGAGGCTTGCATTGCAACACTTACATGAGCAGGTAGTTTCTAAAACATACCAGTCCTTGTCAGAAATATTTACACAAAAGATCACGGGTGAATATTTGGGGGAATTTGTTAAGTGTAGCTATCATTTATATAACCCTATACTCTATAAGAAGTGAATCTTGTTCCAGTACATGTTTGTGAATAAGTACTCAAACAAAGTTATAAGGACCACCCATTTCCATCATGCTGATATGGTTAATTTGTCATGCTATCGGGACAACCTAATTCTTTCATATTACTTTTGTTAATTTGCAATACCTTGACATATTTAGCTATAGTAATACTTTTGTTAGTTTGCAATACTTTTGGACAGTTTACATACTGTTCATGTCCTCTTCATTTATGAGACAAGGTTTGTTGTATATGATATTGGTCTATTGTAATCTTGATCAACGGTCATGACTGATTCATTCTCTTGATTAGACCCATTGCAATTATCAGTAAATGAATTGACGCTTCAGTTGATATACATAAGAAAGAATGATCCTGTGTATCTTGTGAAACTGGCGTTAGTGGAAACTCAGCTAATCTTGAAACTGCTTCAAGTCTGTATTGTGAACTCACTCAAATAGACCATTGACCTGATGCTGCTATTACAGACTGATGAGGAAGTAAAACGATAATGTGTAATAGCTCTTGTATTAACTTTTGTTTTTGTTTTGTTGTGTTTGTAAAACAAGAGTTTTTAGTCTGGTGCTTGCACAAAGGTTTCCATTGTTGTTGCCGGGCTGTGGGTGTGGGAGCGCAGCAAGGAGCTCACAAAATATTGGGCTCAACATTTTTTACATATTTTGCATATTTCAGTTGGCCATGACAGTGTCTTCTCCTTTAGGATATTGGTGTACTTATATCCTTTTTGTCAGTGTATATGCTGAATTTACTTGGTGCCATACCTCATAAGTAATGTAACCATTTTGATGTGTTTGTGTGGTGAATTTTGTCTTCTTTGACTACATGTTTAGCCCAGTGAAGAGATTATGTAAGTTACAGTGTTGCACCAATGCCGATAAGCAGCAAACTGTCCTCACCTTGCCTGCCTTGCTTCAGTCTGTACACCTGACAAATTACTACTTACCCCAGCACACTGACTGAACATTAGGCAGGGACATGAAACCTCAGATTCTGACTAAACAGGTCTAGTGTTCAAGATGTAAATGTTTGCCAGTCATCACCCTAATGCTAAAGTTATATGTTTTTTAAAATGGGAAGAGTCTCTTGATTAAAATAATTATGGCAAAAAATCCAACAAAACCCTTGGTTTAGCTGTCATTTCTAACACTGTTAAGTAACAATTACCACAACTCTTGATCATGTATTGAACAGGGGCATTATCTATGATTCTTGGTCAGTCCGGAATACTTGATCTGTTCAATCCCAGATCTTGTATTGAACAGTGGATCTGTACATTTCATCAACACTTAATGGGTGCATTCCTTCTACCCCTAGTAGAACCATCTTGCCATGAACAAGGATTGATTCCAGTATTTATCAACTATGTTTCAGCTGTTTTACTGGCATTTTATATAACACATGTATATATATATATATATATATATATAACGTTATGGATAACAGCTTCTAGCTTCTTGTATTTAGTTACATTTTAATGTGGATTCCTATATCATTATCAAACTGGAGTCGTCAAGTAATGAGAGGTATATATATGAAATAAAGTTGTGTTAAGTAGCAGATCAACATTAACGGTCAGTGACAATGGATAACAAATAGCACAGAGACAACTGGATGAAGCCAGGTTTTGAGTTAAGAATAACTCGGCCAGTCAGCCTTCTCAGACTGACAGCCTAACTTCCCCAGCCATTACCTTCAGTCTGACACAGTCCAAACCATTGTACCAAACATCTTCTATGAACGAAACCTCTAGGAAGCCATAAAAATCAGTCGTCACAAAAATCAGTCATCACAAACAATTCTAAGGCCAACGGTCATGACAACTTGTCGTAATTTTTTAATCCTTTAAAACATTATCCTTCTATCCATAAAGTTTCGGGTGAATTGTTGTTCAGCAACCCATGCTTGACATCAGAGGCGACTAAAATGATTGTGTGATCAGGCTGGCCGATTTGGTTGATGCATGCCATCATATCCAGTGGAGTAGATATCACGCTCATGATCTCAGTGGATCGTCTGAGTAGACTTGGATGCCATCATATCTCAGTGGAGTAGATATCGAGTCCAGACTTCTCACTTGATGTCGCTCATGATGTCAATCACTGGATTGTCTAGTCAATGCCACATATCTCAGTGGAGTAGATATCGGCTCATGATGTCAATCACTGTACGCCATCATATCTCCCAGTGGAGTAGATATACCATGATGTCTCAGTGGAGTAGTCCAGACTACGATATGCCATCATATCTCAGTGGAGTAGATATATGATGTCAATCACTGGATTGTTCAGTAGTTTGCTGCATGCCATCATCATCATATCTCAGTGGAGTAGATATACGCTCATGATGTCAATCACTGGATTGTCTAGTCCAGACTTGGCTAATTACAGACTGCCATCACAAAGCTGGCAAATCACTACCATTATGTTTGTTTACCTGTGTGCTATTGTTATCAGTACTGTACTTCTGGCATCATGCAGTTTTCTGTGGTAACTTTGCTTTCTGTGATCTGTTGTTAATGTTAACCTGCTGCTTACCCCAACATATCATGTTTATGCCTCTCATTATTTGGTTGAAGATACTCCAGCTTGATAACAGGCAAGAATCTACATCAAAACTAAATGCAGCAAACCAGAAGTTGTTATCCTTTATTTTGTACCTTTACTTCTCAAGTCTGTATTTCCTCGAATATATCGTACACATGCTATAAAGGTGCTTTGTTTGCTATTGTGAACCTTTTTTATGTTTTATATATTGTATGATTTCTAGGATAGTTATTTCATTTTACAAATTTTACCTTAGTCGTGTATGTTTGCACTTTTTGTAATAACAACTGTTTTCTAACCACTTTGTTTTTCATAACATATTATTTGTTTCCTAAAATTCCTAATTGTTATTCACTGACAATAAAACAGGGATAATTGTTGACAGATTTGTGTGCCGTCATTTTGTGATCACACAGCAGATGGTATATTTCATGAAATGCTGGATATTAAGAATGTTTGTACATGAATGGAGAGTACAGAGAGACAAAGTGTAAGAGTTCCATGAACCATTGACATTATGACCTCTAGTAATGAACTGAGGGAAGGAGGGTGGAGGGGAGAACTAAGAATCTAACCACCAACATGCTGCTCTCAGGCCAGATGTTCAATTGACTAGACCTTCAAGATGAAGCAAACTTTATATTCTGTGTGAATGAGTGAGTGAGTGAATATGGTTTTATGCCGCTTTTAGCAATATTCCAGCAATATCACAGCGGGGGACACCAGAGCTGGTCATCACACATTGCTTTGCACCCATGTTTGGAATTGAACCCAGGTCTTTGTCAAGACGAGTGAACGCTTAACCACTAGCCTACCCCACCATATATTCAGTGAGCGTGAATAAGAATATGACATCTTTTACAGCAATAACCTGGCAATATTATGGTGAAAAACACTTGAAATGGCCATAGACACTGTGACCTTGTAGGCATCAAACCAGGACATACTGAGTGGCAGTGGCAAGCATTTGCTACTCTACAGTCTACAATCCAATTGTTCTGAAGATGAAAAAGTTGAATATTGATAATGATAATACTAATTATCTTTTGTTATTTAGCTGTTTATTATTTTCACACATATCTAACTGATCATTCAGCATACTGCACTATACATAACAGCGAGCAATATTTCAGATGGATTGTACATAATAATACATGCACTTCAAATACATATCACCTCTGTTCCTCACCTGGTAATTTCGAGCCCCCCAAATGAATATTGCATTTAACATGATGTATATTTAATACATTGTAAATAACAGAATATGATATCCCCAAAAAGTAATCTAATTACTTATAACAGCTTTAGTATTGGAACAAATGCTGAAGAAAGGACCACCAAACAGACTTGGCTTCATTTCATATAAACCATCAACCAGGTCAGGAAATCATCTCTGTTTGAATGAATGACTATGTCCTCCAGGGTGTGAGGCATTAACTTATATTGAAGCCCTGCCCTCCTTTCATCAGTTCATACCAACAGGACTCCGAGTGTAATACTTAACAATGATGAGCTTCTGTACCTTCACACACTGGGCATTAAGGGCACATGTTCACACATGGGATTCTTCTTACATTTAGATACCAACATTCAGACAAATGTTTAGTCTTCCCCAGAACATTATGTGTCCGTCACATACCAATGGTTTAGGGTACCTGTCACAGTGTGAGGGTTAAGGGCATCTGTCAGGATGCAATGGCTGACTGTTCTGCTCACCTTGAAGTATAAGGCACCATCCTCACCTGTGCATATGTGCAGATGTCAGGGACTCCGCAAAATTAAGAGAACCTCTTGTGATCTAATACACAGATGTTAAGGGTATCTGGTTCACACACTGGGCTGAAGGTAACAGCTTTATAAGAGGGTTTCAACACCTGCATCACACAGTCAGGCGTCAGAGAACCTGTTCTTGTCATTACACAGCAGTGTAGGGCACCTGTTTCACACAGGGGGTTAAAGACAACAGCTTCCTAAGAGGGACTCAACATAAGCTTTCTTCGGATAGGTTAAGGCACCTGCTTCTCATTTACCAAATATAGACTTCATTTGTGAATTATAGCCTTCAATGCATTTATATTCATTAAAGGTCACATGCAACGTAAAAACACAACTTTGCAGATTCTGATACCTTCGGTATGGACTTACCGAAACAAAGCGTCAAAAATGCAAATTCAACTTATAAAGTTGAAAAATAACGCGATGAAAAAAACGCGCGAAATCGGAGTTCAAACGTTTCACTAATTTTCCCCAGACTTTTCTGGGGAATACGGGTTTCAACAGCTGGGCTGCGCTCATAGCACGTGCGCAGTGAAATAGGTTCGCGCAACTTGGAAGCGGGCTGTCTGGTGAATACTCGGTGAAGGCTTTGGTGTGAGCTATTTTCATAATGTTTTGTTGATATCTCACAGGCGCGAGCTTTTTATATGTTATGACAGTAAATAAACTGTTTATATAATTTCATTTGTCTATTTCACCACACGTTCTTCTTACCGAGTCACTTTCTCAGTTGATACTTAAAAGCAATGTCATTATTTAGCGTTGACACAATTTCTAACTGTGATATAGATATGTCGCTGTCACAGACAAAACTCAATGTCTTGTTTTATTGACACCTGTGTGTCTGCCTGCCTGTCTGCTAATGACAATATTCAATACACAACTGCGATCACTGACCACATGCAATTTGAACTTAACACCAATCAGGCTATACACCATAAACAAAACGCATTGATTTATGGCCCGAGTTTGGTCTCTGTCACATTATGTAATTACACAGACAGGCAGGTGTGTGATACTTGAACACATGACATGTTATGATGTCTGTTGATTGCAAAATGTTATACACAAAAATGAGCATGTATTTACAAAACCCAACATCTCTATATATACACACACAATGAGCTGTGAAGGCGGCATCTGCTAATGAACCAGCCGTTACACTTGAGTGCACACCCACCCGCTCGCCTGACTGGGTTCGGTATCCCGGCTGCTTGTTTCGAGGGGGAGGTAAACCCAAGTACAAAATATTGCACTTTGATTTGCGATTATACGCTTATAATTTTGTTTATTTGTTTTTTCATAATCAGCAATGCATATTATATGTCATGAAGAAGTGATAATTGTGTTTTAATTATGTTTGATTTTTGGTTGCATGTGACCTTTATACAATTAAAAATGTGGTATAAAACTAAATAGGTTTGCAAATAAATACAACTACTGCAAAGTAATTACAATAGCAGCCCACAACAG